TCACGTGGAGCGAGCAAGCATGCGCACCCAACCACACCGCTCAGTGCAAGGAGGTCTTCATTCTTTCAAGGAAACCGGGTCAGTTGTGTTGCTGACTCAACACCTCCAGCGATTCCAACTTGTCGGCTTCCAACCACAGAAGTGTCAAAGGCCTTCCGGGCACTGCTCGCAGCGCGGGGAGGTACCCAGGGCCTCCTCTGAGAGGCGCTCGGCCGAGTCCTTACACCGAGCGCCAGTGTCAGAGGCATGGGACGCATGGGCGGGATGTGGCGAACATTGGGAACTGGGGGGAGAAGTGGAGCAAAAGGTTGGGTGAAAGGTTGAGGGCCTCAGGGGCTTGTTTGAAGAATAGTGTCAATGAGAGTCAAATAACAAGCATGTTGGAACAGGATGTTGGTCTTCAGGAAGACAATGGGGAGACGAATCAACATTGCTCCTGCCGACTTGTACTTGGAAAGTGAGAACAGTCGGAGTAAATACAAGAGGGGGCGACAAAAGGAAAAGGTCGTGAACGATCAAAGTGAAGCACTTGAGCTTTGCAATCACCCTGATATGGCACCGAGGCTTAGTGAGCCCAGAACTCATGGTTGGGGGATTGAATGATTACAAACACATGTCAGCGTATGGAAAGGACAAAGCCCATATTAAACATACACCTCCAAACTCAGACTGGTTCAACATCCTCGATCATCCTCCCACAACTGGAACCTGCCACATCCGTTAGATATGATTCCAACATTCGTCAGTGACAACCCAGGCTCACGCAATCAAGCAGCAGGCTTCTTTCTGTCCAAATACACTGTCAACAACAATGAGTAGTGAGCTCTGTTTCTACAACAAAGGTCATCAAAAGCTTCTATCTACAAAACGTGACATGATACTCTAGCTGCATTCTTGGCAGGGATACGACATGATGACACAGAGAGAGAGAGAGAGAGACACCCAAATATGAGCTGTGTCGTCTTGCCACTGTGAATTGCACTCACCTGCTGAACGTTTGCTTGTGTACGAGGGCGTTAAGGTTGTGAGTCACATTCCCACTGGCCAGCAAATCCAACAGGCCACAACCTTGCGGGAAGACTCGGCGACAAGCGAATGAACTCCACGCATGGTGTTTACTTGACGAAACAAGTAGCCTTAATTGCGAACACCTCCACAGCATGATGGCTTCGATACGGAAAGGTAGACAAGTGTGTGTGTGTGTGCGCATCACGGCAACAGTTGCTCGAAGGGGCTGTTGCTTGTTTCCAGGCGTCATACCATTCATGTCGGGCGCATGGCCCTCAAACAAGAAGGTTGGCCTTTTGGCATGTTTGCTGTGCTTCAGCACAATGGAATAAATGCGAGCAGCCGAAAAATCACACCAACATACAGCAATCAGGAACCCCCAGCCAGAGAAAAACAACTAGTATCAAAAGAGGCACTGATATATCTACATACATTCTCCACCTTCCCCTTGCACCTTGGTTCAGCGCGAAACATCTTGGTCAAGGTGCGACGCAGCCCCGCTGCTCTGCGCTTTCTGGAATCAGCTTGCCGGTGGCCGCCTGTATGTGGGCACGCGGCCCGTAAAAAGGGTGAGGCGCCCCTGAGGTAAAATTGAATGTGCGCCCAAACTACAAGTTTGAAGCAACCCCAGGAGTTTGATGCGGTTTGCCGTCAGGCTTGGAATCACAGAATGCGGCCAGCTCAAAGATAAGCATCTCTGCAAAAAGCGAGTTGTTGCTGATTGGTCAAATGATTCTGTACCAATACCAAGTCGCTTGGCGAATACCGAGTCAACGCTTGTTAGTTTAACGCAACTTTTTGCAAATACCAGGTGACTGCTTATTTGTTCAACGGACTGTATTCCATGCAAGGCAGTCAACCATACTGCATGGAACAAACCATCATGCTCCTCTGTTGTAGATTGTTTTGGAGTCAAACATCGTGATCGCAGACGATGGTGACAGGAGTTTACGAGAATCATCAAGCTCTGACCTCCTGCATGTCGCCAACCGAAGCGTGTGGCAAACACTGACACACAACACACTGCTTAAATCAAGCTAGGTGAACCTACACACACATTGGTCGAATACACACATGAGTCATAATCAAAACCTGGCAAACAGAAATAGCCTCCCGAATCCCGGGCAAAGAAGTACAAGGACGGCCGCACCTTTTTCTGGTTGGGACTGTCCCTCGCTAACCTTAGCTTTCCCGGGCTCTGATTGTGACTGGCATGTTCTTACGTATGACAGCGTGGTTTCTTCTTGCTCATTTCATAGGTTTCGAATCATATTTGAGATTTGTCATTTCGTGCTAAACCATGCGAACCTTCACGGCCCGAAACCGGAGTCAACTGCACTTTCTACGCCGGCCGTTTCAAGGAAAGCACATCAAGCACAGCCGTTTGCACCTCACTTGCTATGATTAAAATGGATCAAACATGGGGAACCAAAAAGGTCATTTCAGGTCGATTCGCTTTGGGCAACTGAGCATCTGAACCAGCAGATTTCAATGAAACACTTCAAGCGCAGCCATGCCCTTTTGGGGAAACCAATAGATGGCACTGGGGCCACATAGGGCCGGTGGAACCCATCAAACACCTCAATAGAAAAACCCAAACGCCGGAGATCAAACAAGCCAGCGGAAGCCAGGGATTTCGATGCCTCCGCCGCCGCCAGGGCGCTGAAGGCGCACCGCGCCAGGAAGCTGTGGCCCGTCGCCTTGGGAACTGAGTGCTCTGGACATGGATGGGAAGGACTTTTTCGAGGTCCTCCACCAAAAGAGGTTAGAATAAGAGTTCTCGATTTTTTTGCAGTGGTCTAGTTTAGCAGGGGAACCCTCCCCCAGAAAAGAAACGGTAAAAGGGCACTACTGGGGGACCTGGTTTTGGTTGGGAAGCCGAAAAGGACATCATTTACAGTACTCGGTTGCTTTCTGCTCCCCCGCTAAACTTTTAACTTCTAGTGGTTTTAAGGGAAAACCCATTAGTTGGCAGAAGTTAAAGTCCTAACATCCAAGCAAAATGCACCAAAGAGTGGTTGGGGTTTTATGCCAACCATTTTGGGAGGGTATTCCCCAATCGAATTCATAGCCATATCTATCTATGGGTGAACATCGTCTGATTGGGATTGGTTGGGAACAGCTAAATTTGAGACTTCTTGATTGGGATGCCTTTCATTTAGCCGGGGTTTTATGTCCACCAACCATTTTGGGAGAGTATTTGCACTAGAATTCCCCATTCAAATGCATGATATGAAGCTTTCTTCAACTAGAAACAACACTACAAAGACAACACGACACTTTCTAAGAACACCATTTATCGATCATCATCTGCAAATTACTGCCAAGACAATGGCGATCTTCCAACATCCTCCCCATCTCCATGTTGGAAAAAGGGTCACCTCCCCCATTCTTTGCAATCCGAAAGCCAGCAACAGCCCAGGGAAAGCAGCTCGTTGAAACCAACGGACATCAACCCCCCGGGAACTGAGGCCTGGAATCATTTTTTTTTGGCTCAGCCAGGTCATACTCGACATGTCTGAGCCACTTGCGGGAGTCGCACTGTCCTGAAGCTGCAGTCACAAAACCTATCATGCTGATGCATGAATGGTGACTCACCAAAAAACCGAACCTCCTGACGAGTGTCTTGCTCGGGGGCCGCTCTTTCAACTTCTTGCAGCCTAGATTCGCCAACCGCATCGTCGAACACAAGATGGCCTTGCTGGCGCAAATGGGCTTCCATCATTGCGAGGGCCCAAATCACGTAGCGTTCCAACCGTTGACTCTTGCCTTTTCTGGTCCCTGTGCTACAATTGTTCTTTTCAAATGACTCCGAAGACCAACCCTGGTGTGAGTCTTTGGCTTTGGATCGCAACCCAACAAGACTCGGGAGTCAGGTGAAACAACAATTGCCGGTCATAAGACCAGGGATACGTGACATATTCACAAACCAAGACATTGACATGACTTTATCCCCCAAAGCAACCAAACCCAAACACAACTGCATGGCAACAAACCAGAAACAAGTGGTACAGTAGAAAGGACGACCACCCAAAGCACGACAAGTGCAATTGAGTCTCCAAGTCAGCACGACTGCAACAAACAGCTTGATCACGTGTGACTTTCCAAGGCCCCTGCAGGCCCAGGTGCAAACAGGGAGGAGCGACCATAGTCGAATCCTTGGACCGCAAAATCAGCAAGTTCGGTTTGTGTGTTGAACTTGGTCACTTTCCTGGCAAAATTAAATCAAGTTACAAGAACGCACAAGCCTGCAACCAGGATTTGTCCCTTTATGATGGGGAGCTCATTTCCCCTAGGTGAGCTCTGTGTATTTGCCGAACGCCATCCTCCCAGTCTTTTAGAAAACCTCAGTGCGTCAACCGTCAGCCGTCAGCAAGCACATGTCCTTCTGTTTTGCCCTTGCATCCTCAGCCACCTTCTGGTGGCATCGTTTGGCACCGTTGACGAATCGGTCGATTCGCCAACAAAGACATGCCTTGAAAACACCCTGGTTCTGTGAAGCAACATGGGCCTGTCTCAAACCAGCTTAACGATCCCTACCTGGGGTAGTCCTTGATCTTCAGAACCACCCACGACGATTCACAGAGCCTGGGCCAATGCCCTTCCGGGAGACGGCTGAAGCTGGAGCTGTCTGACATTGCCTCTGACGCTGTTGGACAGCAGGCTCAAAGCCAGCATAAGAAATAACACGACCGTGCAAGGCACGCTCCTCCCCAGTGCGACTCTCAAATATTTCAGCGTCAGCCCCACGCGCGGACAATACGCTATCCGATTTGAGCGCACCGGGGGTGCTACTGGAAACGGGGTGGGCCTGCTGAAAACTCTAATGACTACGTACATGTTCACCTCGGATCTGGGTGTTTCCCCAAAGTACAAGATCCTTGCAAATGATTGGTTTCCTTTAGGCTTCCCCTTCAAAACAACAAAGAGGGTGTCTCTTTTTGCCCCCCCGCCCCCATATGTAGTTGGTACTTTAACACCCCGCCTCCACCTTAGCCAAAAATGTCGAACTCTTCCTCCGCCATGGCCTGGCGTAAACTCCACAACATCGGAAACCAAAACAAGGCACGAATTGAAAGCAGCAAAACATCTGGAAAATATCTGGCTCCAAGAACAATTCAGGTGACTACCTAATCCCTTCGGAGGAGAATAGCAACGTCAAACCAACAATCCTAGACAAACGACGCGTTAAAAAATACGTATTTTATGCTGACATGGGTCTTTTGGTCTCCCCTTCAACCTCACAACGAGAAACTCAACTATGCTGATGCTTAGCCCAGCCAGGAAGACACCCATTCGGACCCCGGGCTCCTCTTTCCTTGCAGGGGATTGCTGAAAGGGGAAACCAAAGGAAAAAAAACAACCAGAGGAAAACCAAAAGAAATCCACAAGGATACCAAGAAACACAGGGGTTTGCGTCAAACGAAGACTGAAGAAGACCACAAACAGCACCGCAAACGGCTTCGCCTTGTTCTTCTTCTTCTTCTCCTCCTTCGAGGAGCCCTTCGAAATGCAGGACCAAGAGCCTGGGGACCAGCAAGCAAGCATCACAGTATTCGGCTTTTTGGGCGGGGAAAAAATTACCATTCGGGCCAACTTTAATTGAGTCTCCTTGGTGTGGGTGATATTTCGATGGGATAATATGTTATTGGCTATCTAAATGCATGTGTTGAACTCTGCGCTGCTGGGCTGTTGGGTTGCTGGGCAGTTGGGCTGCTCAAGCCCGGACTGGAAACAAAGGCGGCGACGTTCAAAGCGATACCAGAATGAACGCTCAACTATAAGCAGAACTGAAGACATAGGCATTCCCAATTCATCAGTCAATTTGAAGGGAACGCACTTTAAATTTGCCCAACCAGGTGCTGATGTTCAAACCACCAAAAATGGAAACATAGGGAACCCTGGAAGGTAACCTGCTTTAGCACTTCACGCGCCAGCCGAGCTTTGGAATCCAGCCTTCTGAGGCCGCCCGCTTCATGTTGAGCCGACGCATGACCTTCTCCTTTGCCAGGTGGAGCCAACCCGGTCTTAACATGATCGCTACACTTTGACCTGTAGTCGAATTGCAAAGGGGGCCTGGATAACTTTGCTTCAACCACGTCTGCCTGCCTCATTGACTTCGTCCCGAAACTCCTCCAGTGTCTTGTGGACTCGGTCCGCTTCCTCCTTGCTCACCTGCGAAGCCGGCATCAAACGGCATTTGTGCCTTGACCTGCTCCCTCTCACACACACAATGGAAACATATGCCCTGTTGTAGACCCGGACGTCATGATACCAAAAAAGGCTCCTGATTTTGCAACACCTCCCCGTACTCCAATGGCCAACCATTGGTGTTTTGGGATGTTTTGGGTGCTGCTCAAATGTTTCGACTGGAAGCAACTCAATCCGGGACCCCGCGCCCAGGCTTTCAGCTCAGATATGTCTCCGATGGAGCCAGCACGGATGAGCAGGAACTGGCGCAGGACCTGAAGGCTTCACACGGGAAGCCGGGATGCGTGAAGGGAGTGACCCTTCACAGACACTTGCAAGCGGCAAATGATCCACTTAGAATCTGAGTGCGTAGCATCCATCCGGGTGCAACATTTCACCAACTGCACATAAGTCGGCTCCCTCAGTATAGAACGGCATAGGTTTGAGGCCGCACCCCCTTCCCCGCGTGCGAGGTCGTACTAAAGTTTAGAGAGCGGGGCGCAAGGGGGTGGAGTTATGAAACTTTGTAACAAACATAGCAAATTTGTTGCGTTTCAAACATGATAACATGAAGCAGGCTGCATTGAGGCGTGATTTGACCGGCCAGATCAGTCAGAGAGTGTAGATACAAGCTAATTAGTATTCCCTCTGTGTTTGCCTAGTGGTCCCTCAATATTCCTCCAGCACTTCCTTAGTAATTTTCTAGTATTCGCCTAGCAGTCACCTTTAGTATTCCCCTAGTGTTCCTGTAGCATTCTCTTGATATACCCTCTGGTTTGCCCTCAGTGCTCCCCGAGTAGCCCCTCAGTATTCCCCTAGTATTCACCCGTAGCATTCCCTAGTCCACTGTCATCCCCTCAAGATTCCCCGGGTAGTCATCTAGTATTCTTCTCTTGGTACACCCTCTAGCATTTCCTCAGTGTTTCCTCAGTTCCCTCCAAGTATTCCCTCATTCTTCTCCTAGTATTTTCCCAGCGTTCACCCTTAGCACTTCCTCATCCACTAGTGTTCCTCTTTTGCTTCGTTTTCCAATACCCCTAGTTTTCCAGTGCGTAGTATTCTTGTTGTGTCCCAATACTATTGCACTGGTATTTGTGTACTATTTTCTTGGTACACCCCTAGCAAACTTTCAGTATTCCCTAGCATTTCCCATTGTGTTTCCCGATATTTCCCCTGTCCGTTAGTGCTCCTTTCTACTCTCTCAGAACTCCCCTATTATTCCCTTCGTATCCCCCCCATTCCTTTAGCATTCTCTTACTTTCAGGGTTCCCTCAGCACTCCCCCGGTATTGCCTTAATATTCCCAAAGTAGTTCCTCAGTATTCCCCTAGTATTCTCTTAGCATGATTTGATTACAAACAAATAAATATGAGTTCATTGCTGAGTGGCCACAGTTGATGAAAATTGTGTTTAAATGTTTACTGGTTTGTATGGACAAGGCTATGAGAAAGGATACCCGGGGTAACATTTAATTCGACATAGGATTAAGCATTACTTAAATTCCAATTCACAACAGGAATTCTGATTGGATTATGTCCTTGTTAGATTCTTTGTAATTTCAAAAAGAGTAGAACTGGATAACGAGATCAAGAATAACTCAGAAGAAAAGAGGTCAGTATGGCTTAGTGATGCCGGGTTCTTGCAATGTGCCAAAAACAGGTTGCCCAAGTGCGATACAAAGGAGTGGAGACTTCAGGCAGAGGGAGCACAAGCCAGGAACCTCAAGGAACACCATGGCAGAGTTGTCTAAACAAAGTGCGAAACACCTTGAGTTTAAGAAGAATCAGAGAACAGACTCATGCCCCAGATCTTGGAGACACCTCCTATTGGGCCTGGAATCTTGGTTTGTTTGTTTTTGTTTGGACAGCCCGTTTTTCCCCACCCGACAGGAAGGGGTTGTTAGATTTTATGTTGGAATCCGCGTTTGCGATGCTTCTACACCACGCCCCCATCCAGTATCCCGCCAGAGCAGATCGCCAGTGGATCCCGCCAAGTATTCTGCCAGAGTGGCTCGCGAGTGGATCCGGCTGAGTACCCATCAGAGTAGCCCGCCAGTGGGTCCCGCCGAGTAGCCCGCTGAGTATCCCTTGCCGGTGGATCCTGCCGAGTATCCGGCCAGTATCGAGCCGGAGCGGCTGTGGATCCCGCCAGTATCCCGCCAGAGCAGCTCGCCGGGTTTGCTTAATGTCCCGCCCGGCGCACAGTTGGGTTTACATTTCATGTTGGTACCTTCGTGGTTTGAGTGTACCCTGAGGCCCGGAAAGGGTGATGCTTTTGTGTTGCTTTGGGTTGCGAATAAGCAACTTTGTCTAATCCCCCGCCGGGTTTCTTTTTGGAAGGGGCCTGGCTTTTGTTAACGGAACCGATGTTTGAGTTCTCGAGATCGGCTCGCAGACAAGTGGATAAGGCTCTCAATGCAAAGCTTGTTGAGCAGCATAGGCCCCAAGCCACTCGAACACCATGCGTGTTCACGGTCGTAAGCTCGTGAGTGTGGAGGGTGGGAATTGCTCGAAGCGAAGTAATTGTTTTTTTTTCTTGAAAATGAGAACGACCTCGAGCTTTCCACAACATCAAAACAAACCAGAACCATTCTGCCAGACCCCCCCGGGGCCTGGAGTTGTGTTTTGATCTTTGGAAAAGTCGAGTGTTTTTGTTTTTTTAATAACGAGGTTGCTTGAAGAGTGCAAAATCCTTGGAGAAGTTTGCTTGAGGAGTGCGACCGAGTATTGATGTCAGTTGGCAATTGAATGCGGATGCAGAATTGATATGCTAGACAAAGCGCAGTACATGAAAAATGCTCTTTCCACAAGTCCACCCCCCATGGCGCCCCCCTCTGAAAGTTCACCCAATTCAATCCTCAGCTCATTCAACTCAAGCTAATCACAACTCCTTTGCCCAACGGAATTGAAGTTTGGAGACCATGACAGAAAGGTAGACCAAAAAGGGAAACCAAGAGGGAAAAAGGTTGGCTTTGGACAACTGAGAACACCAAAACTGAACCAGCTTTGCACTCCAAATCTGCTCTAAATGCACGCATACACTGCACACCCCACTCCGCCCCACTCCTAGCTCCTTAACCAACCATAATCATTCCGTTCTTCTTGCCACTCAATGGAGCATTGCCTATATTCTGCCAACATGGTCGGTTTGCATGGAGGCGCGCCCTCTTGGTTCCCATGAAACCCGCTAGCAAAAGGCCCGTTTAGTACGGCCTTTGGGTTTCTGCTCCATTCGGCATTTGATTCCGAGATTGGCTTTCCAACAATAAGATACTAACTTGTGAGGTCTTTCTTATCTTTTCTTTGGGGGACGGGAATTCAGGGAGGTGGTGGACCTGGGTCTACCCAAAGCAATGTAAAGAATCAGCCCGGGCCGCCCTTCACAGACCCAGGCCGAAGCGCACCTTGGGGACCTCGTTGACAGCCTCCGCGAAATCTTTCAGGAGCTTCATCTTCTTTGCCAATTCCTGACCGCGCTTCAACCAGGAGTTTACGGCTTGACCCCCCCTGTGCCAAAAAATCCCCCCGCACACATGCATTCAAACCTGATGCAATAAGCCTAGCTAATAAGCCTAGCTAATAAGCCTAGCTCACTTTCCCTTTGCTTGAGGTGCCATTTGACAAAAGTACTGCCCATGTCTCCTGAAAACCAGCAGGCAACATAAGAATCATATTGATTAGGCAACTCGATGTCTGAGATGTTTTGCAAACACCGAGAGGCCCCGACTTCCAGCTGCAAGCAGAAAGATTCCAGGAGCGAATACCCCCATGATCCCCCATGAAGTCCTTGCCTTGCTTGCCACCTCCCGCGCAGAGGCGTCTTTGCGGCACACCTTGGCCAGCGCCTCCGCCATCTGCGCCAAGCCCTGCAGCTTCTCCAAGCTACTCTCCCCAGATTGCATGCCTTGCCAGGGAGGTTTGGGGAAAACAAACTGGCGAAACCGTGAGACCTTTTGGGGGCCGACTCCCACGCCTTGGTACAAGATAGCTTCCTTGGACATGGCGGTACTGCACCCAGAGGGACAGCGGTGTGGATACACATCGCTCGTGTTGTAGCCGTGCGAGCAACGGGAACAGCTGTCGCAGAAGCTGGAAGCGTTGTTCTTCCATTGCCTGCAGTAGCCGCAGCGCGACCGCTGCGGCTGATTGACTTGCAGTTTTGGCTTTTCAGGGTGCTGAAGGTTGGCCAGCAACTTGACGGTAAGCTGCTTCTGCTCCACAAACTCTGGCGCCACAAGTTCCCCGAGCCACTTTGCCTTGCTAAAGTGCTCCAAGAACCTGCTGAAATCGGACAAGTTTGCCTTAATTTCTCGACTTTGGCTGCCCATGTCAAACTTCATCACCTGGCAAAGGGGGGGTGGGTACCAAAAAAGAGGGGCTTTCGCGTGGCTGGCGTTTCAAGGCAAGCCAAAGAAACGCCGTGTCCGTCTCCATGTTTAGGGATCCGAGTTCCACAAGGATAAACATCTGCCCACCCCGACACTTTGGACGCTGGACGCCCGCGCCTGGTGCTGAGATGTGGTGGTGAACTGAGAAGACTTGTCCGCGAAAAGCAAAGTCAGCTGACGAGAGGTCTCTCTCGCCAGCGCTTGGTTCCGATGCAGTTCATCGCCACTCAATGTGGATAAGCCCAACCTGCCGAGGGAAACAAAAGAGAAGGTTGTATCAAGTTCGGACCAAAAGGTTCCAGCACTTCTTTGAGGATACTTTCTGAGGGGTTAAGAACGCTGAATGTACTTGGTGGGTGGACCGTAAGGGAACCATAAAATGTGAGTTTCCGATGGCCTTGAAAAACCATCATTGTGTGCGTTCATGGCTTGCACGATGGACCTCAGCCACTTTGTAGTCGATGTGATCTGCTCACAAGAGACTTCCGGCGCTGGGTCCTGCATATTTATGCCAAACAGCGCAAAGAATGAACACGTGGACTCAGTGTTAGGGGGGGCTTCTTCCCCATGAATAATTACCCTGCAGGTTTTTTGTTGCATGGCATGTTGAATGATACCTCCCTGTCCAAACGACAAAGCGAAGAAGAAACACGCGAACACGCATAAGTCTGAACTCAAAGGAACATATAAATATGAATGTTAACGTGCGGAGCACGTGCGCCAGGGGCACGTTACAATTGTTTTTCATTCATCGTGCCCCGTTTAGAAGCGCCTGCGCCATCTCCTTCTCCAACGCTCCGCGAGCTTCTTCAAAGCACTTCTGCAAAGGCTCCAGCAGTGTTGGTGTGTCGCCTTGCAAGGGCGAGAACGGCCGACAAACGGTCATGATACCTGCGCTTGGTTCACGGGAGAAACATGTTTTCTCTGTTCACCAACCTGAAATGAGGTATTCTCTTCATGCGACTTTGTTTTGGCCCTTGGTGAGCTCGTGCAAAATGAACAAGATCCTCACAACGGCAAGCCCCATGGTTGTCAGTCACGCCCAACAAAGTCTAATCCCGCCCAGCAAAGTCTAATCCCCATGGGGACTATAGGGTCTAACAGCGTCCTTTTTGTAGCCATTTCCCAGGCTTTCCCGCTGGGACCAAATGACAACCATATGATACAGTAGCAACTCAATAGATACGCCTGCCACGGTTCCGGTGCTCGCCATCCCCCGACTCTGCAATCCACCTATGCAATTTCACTTCGGGCCACAAAGCTGCGGTTGGACATGTTGACGCCTCGCAGGTTGCACGCAAAGGGACAAACAACAACCGTTTTGAATCACTCAATAATATTGGCTACTTCCTGTTTGTGCCAGCATCGGTTGGTTCTCGTGTTCTGCGTTTGTTCCCCTTCTGTGCGTGTGTACGTGTGCTCTCCTTTTACTCTGTTTATCCATGTTGTTGCTGCCTTCTCTGTTGTTAGGTTGGCCTTGTCATCGTCGTGGTTGCCATGGTTGCTGTTGTGGCTGTGGTTGTGGTTGTTGCGGTTGTACTGGTTGTGGTGGTTGTGGTTCTTGCGGTTGGTGTGTTTGCTGTGGATGTTGTGGCTGTTGCTGTGGCGGCCGTAGCCGTCGTCGCCGTCGTCGTTGTGGTCGTGGTGGTGGTGGTGGTGGTGGTCGTTGCTGCTGTTGCTGTTGCTGTTGCTGTTGCTGTTGCTGTTGCTGTTGCTGTTGCTGTTGCTGCTGCTGCTGCTGCTGCTGCTGCTGCTGCTGTTGTTGTTGTTGTTGTTGCTGCTGCTGCTGCTGCTGTTGCTGTTGCTGTTGCTGTTGCTGTTGCTGTTGCTGTTGCTGTTGCTGTTGCTGTTGCTGTTGCTGCTGCTGCTGCTGCTGCTGTTGCTGCTGCTGCTGCTGCTGTTGTTGTTGTTGTTGTTGTTGTTGTTGTTGTTGTTGTTGTTGTTGTTGTTGTTGTTGTTGTTGTTGTTGTTGTTGTTGTTGTTGTTGGAGATAGGAGATATATAGAATAGGAGATTAGGAGATAGATAGACCCAGGAACCGATATTAACACGAGCGAAAACCACGATCCCAGAGTCGGCATATAAGAAACAAAGATCTCGTACAGTATCTAGTATCCAAAGGCAAAGATTAGAGATATTATTTTTCTTATTTATATTTCGGGTTTTAACAAATCATTATAAATTATATATTCGGCAATTGTTATTTGGTTCCCATAACAAATATTATAAAAATCAATAATTTACAATTTTATTAAGGGTTTGGATCTTAAAAATTCTTCTAATATTATATATTGTTCTTATTATGGTATAAAAAAACATATATAATAAAATTCTAATATATAGAATAGATTATCCTAGCTGTATAATTATACGTTTTTAAAATAAATATATATATATATATATATGTTTTTGAAAATAAAAATCAAAAGAATACATATATCATGTAAATTATCCTAATTGTACGAAAGAAGGGGTAAATATATCTCTTTATTCAATTCGATTTTTTAGAATAAGAAAGAAACATAACGGGTGCATAAACGATCAACCGAATAAGAAAGAATATATAATTCATTAAAACATATAAAACAATCAAAATATATTAATATATATGTTTTTATTATTTAAATATATAAAAAATTCTATTTAACTACTATATAATTAATATAAATAAATAAACAATAAGTCAATTAATTTCACTTAACAAAAAAACATTTTTATATTTATTTTTATTCTATTTATATATATATATATATTTCGAAATATGTTTTGTTTTTAATAAATACAAATTCTTATATAATTAAATACATTTTAGAAATACAAATTAAATTTACAAAATCCATAATTATTTAAATAAATCAAATCTATTTCCCATACCAACCAATATATAAAATTTAATTATATAAACAATTCATTTAATTTACATCTCCAAAATAATATATATTCTTAATTTAAATCATATAATACATATATAAATTATATCATTATTTAAAATATATCAATTATAATTATAAAAAATACAAAAATAATAATCATTATAATATATATAATTATTTCATAATAATCAATAACAAAATCACCAATTCATTTCTCCTTCCCTAATTCCATCTTCCTCATTCCTTAATTCCTTCCTAAAAATAAATACATATCCTAACTAATTTTTAAAAAAACTACATATAAATATAACCCTTAAAATTATCAAACCATTCCAAAAACAAATTACAAACCAATCCATCCTAACCATCAAAATTCAACAAACAAAACCATCATTATCCTTCTCACAAACACCAATTTTAACACATAACATAAAAAAACAAAAACAATAATTTACCAAATCATCTAACCCTCTAAATCAAGATTATAAATTAAATATATATAAAATCATCTAAAACTATTATCTAACTAAAACAAACACCTAATCTAAATCACATATAAATCCCAAAACCCTATTCCAAAACCTTATAAATTAACTCACAACCATATTAAAATATATACATTTTATTTTTTTTACATTAATTTATCAACATACCACATTAATATCAATTTTAAAAATAAATTTAATATGTTGTAAAATATATCTTATTTAAAACATATATGTATTAACAATTATATCATATAACAACACACATTTAATTAATTCATATGTTTCACCAATTATAATTTCCAATATCTATTAAATTCCAATATTTATTTATTTGTTTATATATTTTATTATATATATGCAACACCAAACCAAACAACAACATCTTTGCCACGCTAACTTTTCTTGGTCGAAGCATGCCTCAATCGCCTACGAATACTACTCATTCTGCGCCTTGCCTTCCTGCACAAAGCTGACTCAACTACTACAAAAATTGCAATATCTAAAGGGTAGCCAATGATATAGTGGAAAGAAGCCTGCGAGGACTCTTGCTCGTTTGCAGGGATTCAAACTCTCAAGCCTATCACAGGCTCAGGGAACAGCCACATTCAGATTCCTTGGCAATCTTATGCAATCATACGAACGCAAAGGCAGAAGCCTGATCAACACATCTCTGTGACTTTCTGAAAAGGTGGAGGTTGCCGCAAAAAACAAAACAAAACAATTGAACACATGTCCACGGCGCGCCGCACTGTTTTCCTCTCAAGCCGCATCTTTGGGCTCGCGCGCGATCTCCCTGGCGTGCTCAACTTCGTAGTCAACTTTAGAGTCCGGGAACCACAAAGTGACCAGCGAAACGACCCATCCAACTGGTTGACAAATCAAAAGGGGCAGAGTCATCTGCGAAACGTCAGTCATTGCCAACTAGTCGTCCTCTGGGGGTTTGTGGAAATGCTGCCCTCCAATCACAAGCAACACGTCATGGAGCAATCTCTGCACAGGGATGCAACGATTCCTCAGCTGGCGCGTGGAGACACTGTCTCAAATGCCTCAAGGGAACATCCTTGGCTCTTTCTTTGTCCTGCTTACGGCCCAATGTATTTGGGCAAACTACCAATCTACAAACGGATTCATCTTTGAGGCTACATCTTTCCTATATCCATGCCAACAAATCAATGCCAACACACATGTAGTCGGTATCTTCCACCCATTGCCCATAGTCAATATTCGTTGTGCTCCCAACTGACATCAGAATTTGGTGCCGCGCCCTCCCAATTCAATGTGCCCAATGTCCCACCCCTTCGCCACCAAAAAAACACAGCTCATATCGAGAAATTGACGGTTGCTCATATTGAGCTGTGGATTGCTCCAGAGGACATTGGGCATTAGGTGGCTCTCGTTTTTTTGTGTGAGAAACTTGCGTCGGCCTTCAATGTCTACCAGTAATTGGTTTCGGTACTCACGTGTGCCATGGTCAGAACTCCGGGTCATGGTCATGGTTCCTTTCACGAGCCATTGCGTTGGCTGTCTAAGACCCTTGTTGGGCTTGATGACCAGCTTTAGCCCAAGCAAAAAGGTCCTTTCTTACCCTTTCCAGCTTGGTTTTAAAAAGCAACGCAAGGAAAACCAACTATTTTGGGCTCATCCCTGTGACAAACCCTCTGAACAGCCCCTCCCCTCACCGTCTCTCTCCGCAAGCGCGCCTCTAGCACACCACCTCCGGCGGCTCGCACTCCTCCACCACCGGTCCGCCCGGCACGCACTCCCCTGACCTCCTGGACCACGTTTGACGCTTGCACCGACAAAAGGCTGTGGGTCAAAACCCTGTACCGCTGGTGAACATCAAAACAGGTGGCAAATGGATGTTCCTCCACCCCAAAATGGAGCCACAGGTTATGCCCCATGGAAAAAGGGGAAAAGAGCTCGCTTCCTGAACTGGATTGGCCGAAACAAGGCCCCAAGCTTTGGGAACTTGCCACTAACATAGACTTCCCCGAAAGTTTAAAGTCCGGGAAGTCAGGAGTAAGAGTTGTTTGAACCCCAAAGCCGCTCCCATTTCTTCACAAGACGGTGCTTCTTTGGGCCGTCTCTAGCGGGGACGTCTTCACGGGCCAGTGACATCACACCGCTTTGCTTGTGGGTTTTTTATACTATAATATAGCAGGCTAGTGCAGTGCCGTTTTGGGGGGGCATCAGCTGCTTTTGGGGGGTGTTTGAGCTAGCGGGCTAGTGGGCATTTACTTGATCACACGACTGCTTTGGGGGGTGTTTTGGGTAGTGGGCTGGCGCTGTTTCTGTACTTCGACAGTGAGGTGACGGCCTGGCACAGCTGAAGTAACGTTGACATGTGCGCATAATATGTCCAGTTTGGGGGTTGAACATCAGCGCGATGCTTGTGACATCCAGGCTGGCCTATTTGCGAATCGCCAGGCTGGAGGCAGGTCTCTGACTGGTCGATTGCGTGTGCTCAATCACTCTGCTCTGTGAAAAGCACTACCTGCAAACTCAACATTCACGTTCCCCCAAAATCCATCATAAAAAAATATAAAAAAATCCTAACATATTATCAGAAACAAAGCATCGCGGGGCGTTTCAGCAACCTGCCAAATGGTTCGCTGTTCACGGATGCGCAGCATGAAGAGCAATCAAGCAAAAAACAATTCAACGGTAATCAAAATCAATAGGCCAAATTGCGATGATATCATTTGGTGCTTCCGCGTGTGCTTCCGCGCTGCGGGTGTTTGCTTCCGCGCTCTCATTTCCCTTCCGCGCCTTCCGCGGCTTGAGTCTCTTTCTTGCCAAGCCAACACAACTAGATATTGAGCTTGTTTTCCACCACCCGTTTCTTTCGTGAAAAGCGTTGCCAACAGGATCACTGCAGCGCCCATAACGCGAGTCATCCAAATCACGGAACCCTTCGGCGGTCCTTCCTCCAGTGTTCCGCGAATTGAGCCCAACATCAATCTGCACGCATTTAAGGCCCGGGGTTCAAAAAACGGTTTAGCCCGAACAAATCGTTTTTAAGCCCGGGAGCAAAAACGATTTGTTTGGCCCGAACAAATCGTTTTTAGGCCCGGGGTTCAAAAACGATTTGTTTGGCCCGAACAAATCGTTTTTAGGCCCGGGAGCAAAAACGATTTCTTGGGGGTTCAAAAACGATTTGCGTGGCCCGAACAAATCGTTTTTAAGCCCGGGAGCAAAAACGATTTGTTTGGCCCGAACAAATCGGTTTTTAGGCCCGGGAGCAAAAACGATTTGTTGGGCCCGAACAAATCGTTTTTAGGCCCGGGAGCAAAAACGATTTCTTGGGGGTTCAAAAACGATTTGCGTGGCCCGAACAAATCGTTTTTAAGCCCGGGAGCAAAAACGATTTGTTTGGCCCGAACAAATCGTTTTTAGGCCCGGGAGCAAAAACGATTTGTTGGGCCCAAACAAATCGTTTTTCGGCCCGGGGTTCAAAAACGATTTGTTTGGCCCGAGCAAATCGTTTTTAGGCCCGGGAGCAAAAACGATTTGTTGGGGGTTCAAAAACGATTTGTTTGGCCCGAACAAATCGTTTTTAGGCCCGGGAGCAAAAACGATTTGTTTTGCCCGAACAAATCGTTTTTAAGCTCCGGGAGCAAAAACGAGCGCCCTTCCGCTGCGCAAATTTCGTAGTCAAGTCCGCCGGCCCTTCCGCAAGCTTCTGCGGCCTGCGGACAACCTTCCGCGCGGATTGCTTTCAGCGCTCCCTTACTTAAATTGCTTTGAGCATTTTTGATCGCTGCTCAATTGGCTCCTCTGGACGTAGTTCAAGACCTCCCGGCAGTCTTTGGTGCCTGGGCGGGTGTTTGTCGGGGCCTCAACCCTGATCCATGACGCCCCAGTTGCTGGGCTGCATTCGACGCTTCTGCTTCCTGAAAACCGAGCCAGAGTGTCTATATAGCTAGTTCCCACAGAAAACCGCCATCTTTGCCTATGCAGCATTGCCTATCAAGCCTGGGACACATGCCACAATCTCCGCTTTAACGCGGTAATTTCCCAGCCGCCGCCCAAGCATACAACATATCGCGTGGGGCCGGGTGGCTGTCGCGGTCCAGGCCAAAGGTGTCCAGCATCGCATCCCAGTCCTCCCAGCCGGCCGGCAGGGGAGGGGGGCGGAGGTCAGTTCGTGGGGTTGCCTTCCCAATTCCGTGTCTCTTCCGCCGGGTCTCACACTTCCGATAGCCCCAAACAATCGTGTCTTTCTGAGTCGGAGAGCCCAGCTTGCCTCCAAGTACACCCATCGTGATGGGGAATCCATTTCCGGTTGCCCCAATCTCCAGCTGACAGCTTGACAGCCAACCATCTCCACTCAATAGGAGCTGTGGATTAATCGCCCTAATCCTGCAATCGGCCATAACCTTTGGCAGAACCAGGCCAAAGACCTCACGGAGACATCAGCCCCGCACCTTGGATCGGCCCGCAAAGTGGTAGAGCAGGGCCGGGTCCTTGGTTCCCAAACACGCCATGTGTCAACCGTCGCGTCGCAGGATGTGGCTCACAAATTGGGTACAAAGAGAGAGTCGACAAAATTCTCGGGTTTCTGGGTCCTCAATTTTGAGCCACACTCAAGGGTCACCCACATATTCTCCTTCTAAACATCCCGTTCGCATGGCGATGGTGCTTGTAGACCAAAGCCGCCTGACACGGGCAGTCAATCAATGGTAACATGTTATATATCATGTCTCTCCTTACCTCCAATGGCTAGTACGGAACAACCTAAGACAGGGCATCGTAAAACATAGGCCCCCAAACCACATGTTTTCCCATCGAGCACCATCCAACCGCGTCAAACATCGCGCCACCCAAAAGGATAACATTGAAGGGACCCCCCACCTGTCCACCCATCAGCACAGCTCACCTCGCGTGCCAGGCCCCCCGGCGGATAGACCTCGTGCACCCACCACGTGGTTCACATCCACTTGCCGCGGGTCCATGAACCTGCGCCATTCGCCGCGGAGGGGCCCTCTGGTTTTGACACCTTCCGAGGGTTGCTCTATTTCATCCTGAGATTGCGGGAAGGAATTCCAACTCAAACCGTTGCGGGCGGTTCCAGTTTGACACTCAAGCCCCCACAAACAAAATGGCGGCTTTCCTTTTGGCTTCCGTTTGAAGCACCAAGAAGGCCTGGTCTCACAAACTCGACCCTTGGCTCCGTCCCCAACGAATGCCCCGCCCGAATGCACCAACGATCGCCTTATGACCCGAGAGCCGCGCTGGCCGAAGGGCCCGGCCAGCGCCTCGCTTTGGCGCCACCAGCACATGGCATAGAGCGCCACCTCGTGGTTCCTAGCGCCCGGGTCCACAGCGGAAGAAACAACCAAAACGCAGCCGCAAATGGGAAAAACAAAACAGCACAGCGGACAACAAACAATTACATCATCCAAAAACGACATCCACAAATTTGCTGCTCCAAATTGAGCCTACCCGGTCTACCCACAAATACAGCATATCTTGGAGACAGGTTCGTCTAAGGGTGACATCCTGATTCTTTCCCGGAAAACCGTGAATGTGGAAAGAACGGGGGAACCAGGCCCTAGAGGTGGGCTGCGAGTTGTCAACCTTCGGGATCAGGCCGGAACATTGGGCTCCGTGTCTGAAACGCTTTAATTGGCGCAGAACCTGTGAAGATCCACAAGCCATTGTCGTGGCAGCCATGGCAAGCTCACTTCCAAGCATAAGGGGCAGTAAAGCACAGAGTAAGGCAGCGGGCCTACACACCCTAGAACAAGTAAACAGCATGGCTTCGGCCATTGCCCAGGGCCAACCTTCTCCATGCCCAGCCAAGGCTCCCCTGCACATTGGGAAACAGGTACTGCGCACACTCTGAGTCGTAGCCCTGGCCGTCCTTGGATCACATGCCCGTGTGCGCCAATTGGGGCCTCTTTCTTTAGTGGTTCTTCAATGAAAACAGAAGCACTTTGGATGCCCCCACATAGCCCACCATCAAAACTGCCGTGACCTTGCATTGAACGTGCAAAACATGTGAACACTGCCCCCTCATCCACCCTCAACCCTGTCCAGCGACCTCCTCTGTGGAAACCGGCATTCTCTCTCACACACTCACACGCACACTCACTCTCACTCTCACCCCACCCCTCCCTCCCTTCCTCCCTCCCTCGCTCACCTCACCTCACCTCACCTCACCTCACCTCACTCACCTCACCTCAAGTACTCTTAAACTCATCTCTCTCGCACACAAGCACTGACAAGGACACTGCTTTCGTCTCCACGTCGCATTCTCACAAATGCACAACCGCGCACAACGAACAACTCATTCTCTCTCTCTCTCTCTGTCTTTCCGTGTCTCTTTCTGTCTCCCTTTCACTCACTCACTCTCTCCCTCTCCGTCACACACACACACTCACACACACACACACGCACACACACAAACACACACACACACACAGGCACACATACTCCTGAACGTTGGTTTAATTCCTTACAACTTGCTTGGGATTTGTTCAAGCTTCCGGGGGCCTTCCGCATTCTTACCATGGGCTTCCGCGGACTTCAGCGATGCATGTTTTTCATCGTTTGCTTCCGCGCCCTTCTGCGGCTGCAAGATTTTGCTTCCGCGAGAATTGGTGCAGCAAGGAATGCATTCATGTCAAACCAAACCGCTTTCGCAAACCTTCCTCGAAAGGAATCCTCCCCGCCAAACCTTCCGCGCGCTTCTGAATCGTGCTCATTTTCAAGAAATGACATATCCCCCACCGACCACGTTCAATCTGCGGGGAAAATCGAACAAACCGACGTTCACCTCTCAGTTCTGATCCTCTGGCTTTGCTTCGCCCAGGCGCTTCCGCCTCGGCCTGCACGGCTGGCTTGATTCCAGGCAGTTCTAGTTCAGGTCAGCGCGCAAAAAGTCGTACAATACTCAACACACGGCTTCCAACCGCGTGTGGCCCCGCAGTAAGCTTTAGTTTTGCAAACATTCCAGGTGTACAGTACAGTCGGGTGGGCTAGGCACATCAACTCTCTTGAAATGTGTTTCGCTTCTATGGGGCAAAGTCGATGCGACCGTCTCATCAGGGCCTATGTTTAGGTTGCGTTTCTTCATGTGAAGCATGCTGCAAGACTGATGCCAACAATCGCACACTACACTGGCTTGCCTGCTTCGAAAGAGGAGCGTTGGGCCACTTAGTTCGCACGCTAGTTTCACGGAGTTTAGTCACTGCAGCTTCTTGGAACATGTGTCGTGCCTATGGGGAACATCGCAGCGACCCCGTCACGTCAGGGTCCCTGCAATCAGCCGAAGCCCATTGGCTTGCAACACGGCAGCAAGCAAAACAAGATAGTGAGGCAGCAACGGCTAAAGCAAGACAGCCAAGGCAGCAGAACGGCCGGAAAAGCCGGGAGCAAGGCCAGGAGCAAGGCCAACCATACTCCAACACGACTTCCAAACCCAACTTGGTTTTGGGGAGCCCAGAAACGAGGCCCAAAACGAGGCCCAAACGAGGTTCAAACGAGGTCCAAAACCAGCCAAAAGCCCCAGTGGCCCAATTGACAGGTCCCTAGGCACATAACTCAACTAGGAAACTAAACAATGCAAATGCACGCGAAACAATGCAACACAACTGTCAAGCTGCTCTGCAAAAAAATGTTCGAAGAAGGGGTGTGTTCTGCTTACAATTTTGATTGCGGGCAGGGTTGCGGCTTACTGGTTGTTGCTTTGGTTGTTGCTGCTGCTGTTGTTTGTGGGCTAGCTCTGAAAGGACTTGAGAAAAACAACAGCACGCTAAACGCAACCTAAGTTTAAGAATCGATACGACCCCGCTACAATGCTTTCCCCAGCGGCAGGGAGACAATCAAGCCAAATCGATGCGGCTAGCCTGCCTGACTGTAGATGTATTTATATGCTAGCGGCGTTGTGCAAAAGGTGTGGATTGTTGCCACGCAAGAGTCAGCTGCCTTTTCTTGATCTCTTTCAAATAGTAGCCAGCCGCTTTGACTGCTGTTTGGCCTGATCGCTTTTGACGACTTTGTTCAAACTAATCCAGCCCTGCTGCTCTCTGTCCGAACATGTATCAACGCCCTGCGTTCCTTGATGACACTGCCCATCATTCCTTTGCCTTCAAAACTAAAAGGAAGGTATACTGGCGACCAACTATCTACCAGCTATAAATCTCAGCAGGGCATGGGAAACGAAATGGCATAGCATAACCCCTAGCCAAAAACCCATCCCTCCGCTTTGGCTTCCTTTCAATTTGGGCCTCAGTCTGGCGCGTCCCTTCCCCCCCGACTTCTCGCGCGCCCGCATCGTCGACGGATTCCGTCGAGCCGCGCCTCCAGGCCCAGGACCTCCAGCACCGTCTCGTCGAAAGGGCCCTGGTCGTGCTCGATGGTCTGGAACCATTTCGCCTGTCCGAACCATTTCTTGCGCATTTCGCCCGCGATTGGTCGGGTTGGGGAATGGCCCAGAGCTGGCGAACTTGCTGGTGGGCGATAGGGAATCCGGGAATGACTGACCCAGATTTGGCCAGCTGCCAAACCGAGGTGTGGCCGAAATGTGGGAATCAAGTGTGTGAAGCAAGTGCAGAAATGGTGGCTCAAAGCTAGGAAACCTTTTTCCGGCCGGCTGAATCATGGAAGAAACGCATTTCTGTGCTGAGAAATAGGCGAGGCCGCTTTATGGACAACAAGCTCACCAGAGCGCAACTCATACGTGAATGGCTATCCGCTTTGGAACACCTGCCAAAAGGATCGCTCTTTGAGCAGTGATATCACAGCAAAGGAGTTGAGTACCACATAAGGTAGGAGTTTTTACACAAAATATAGTCGTCTTGGCAACCGCGACCCTCAAAGGAAGTGGTTTGTCTTTGGCTTCTTTGACTCCCAAAATTTTGTACTTTCAACAAGACTCTGGCAGACTCCCTCCCATAAAAAGCCTACGCTTTTGCGGCTGCTCCCCATCGCTTCCGTTGTCTCGTAAGGTTAGCTGCCAACCTTTGACTTGCTTGTCTTGCAAGCCAACCTTCCAGAGTTTCATGGCAAACGAATTCATCCGGGAAACCATTGTAGATCAGCTCTTTCCCCCTCGTTCCCTAAGCCAACCATTGCATCGCTTCCCCTGCCTTGTCCAGCAGCAGCGACAGGAAAAAGCGGCCCCGCGCCGAGTTCCGAAGCAAGGCCACGCCGTTGTTCAGCGTCTGAGGGCCTGCCAGGGCCCAAGGAAGACCCGCGCCTGGTTGCCTTTCACTGGAATCGAACTGATACCATGCAAAGCAACTGGCTGTGGCTCAAAAACCGGTACCACAAATCAACCCTGGTAAGTGGAAACATGGACCAACACCTACGTACCCCCTCCTGTTTAACTAGCAGAACCGCCACTCTCTCGGGCTGGAATGCAAACACATTGCACGAAAGCGCCCCGAAAGCGGTTGCATGCGAGCCACCAAGAAGCCAGCAACCCTTCTACTGGTTGCTCTCAGGACTTGGGTCAACCTGCGGCACGGACCCCACGGAGTGGCACCAACCCGACCCAAAAAACAGGGCTCCGTTGGCAGATAGCTCACACACAAAGGCTACGTAGATGCCCAGATTACCTAGGGCTTGCCACTTCTTGTCTTGAATCCAACCTGCCAAAGCAGGGAGAGCACGTTCCCTGCCAAGGTAAATCATTGTGTACTACCTGCCATCGAGATGCCTCCTGTCCACAAGCGTGACTATTGGGGTTGTCTTTCTGTCAGGGTAATTACCCCCTTTTTCGGATTGAAACTAAATGGAAACCACCCGGGGTCGGGAATGTAGACAAACCCATGACTGAGGGAGAGCCCAAACCCTACGGTCTGGGCACCCCGACGCCCGAAGTCCCTCATGCCCACATCCGGAGGCGGCTCAACTCCTTGTCTGGGGCCAACATGAAACGCGGTGGAGTGATCTGAGGCGAGTGGGGGTCACGTTTCATCCATGTGACACTCTGTTTGGAATCACAGTCCCAGCACCTTTGCTGGCATGGCACTGTGTCGAGAAGTTCAACGTTTGGGTGGTAGGAGTGGGGGGAAGCAGGGCTAAGGAAGCAACCGTGGAGCAAAAGACAACAAACAGAGTATGTTGGGCAATCGGATGCATCTGAATTCTAGTGCCAAAGCAAAACAAAGGCCTCGCCTCGCCTTCCTGCGTGGTTCTTCTAGCGTCGACTTCCTGTCAGCAAGCCGCAGGACTCGAAGGCTGCGACCCTTTGACGTTGATTCACCGCATTGATGCAGACAGCTGGGCAGGTGGAATTCTTAAGCCTAAAAGCTTGAAACGAGAGCGAGAACCGCTATCTTCTAGCCAGGATTATTTTGCAACAGAAAGTGCAACAAGGGATTATCAGGCCGCTCTCCAGAAGAGAGGAAGCCCCGCGCTCAAACACGAATTCGTTCGCTGCGTAGTTTACGCAACGATTCTCGCGTCGGAGTCGTTGTCGTGTTACGGGCCCCACATATCAGGTGATCCAAAAGGATGAACAGGGATCCTCACATTATACACCTGAACATTGCCTTGTAAATTGGTGGTTTCCCTTTATTTTGGTGAAAAGCCATGTTTCAAATGGGCAAAATTTATCTTTTAAGGAGCCCTGATGAATGTCTGTGGTTTGACGTCAAACTGATGAGTACCCCCTCGGTGTAACAATCAGAGACGTGGACAGGGGGCGTTTTGAGGAGCTCTGTCATATAGTCTTCCAAAGTTCTTCTGTCCACTTGCATGGTTCTTGGAAAGAGCATAACTGACAAACTTCTGAGTTGCAGTGGTTGGTTTCCTCTTAGACTCTCCTGAGCCTAGCGGCCAGTGCAAAGGCACAAACATTTAAGAGTCCGCAGCAAAAAAACCTGCAATCACAAACTTCCATTTGCTTAAGCTGAACATATCTCAAGTAGTGATGGATTCCCGTTGAAACCAACAAGGGAAAATAAGAATACAAACAACATATTCTGAAGCAACTGGAAGTAAACTGCAACATTCACCGAACAGCGTCCTCCCCCTTCGCCCCTGTAACGCACTCCCACAGCACAGATCCCCCGTTTTTGCTGCCAGGCTTCCATCTGGCCAGGCGCCGAGTAGATCAGGGATCTGGGTGGTGATTTTTTGTCAGTTCCCTTTTGACATCTCTCCAAGCCTTCCTGGGGGGTCCTCAACAGTTACATGCCCAAAACCACCTGCTGCACAAGGATTTGCTTCCTCGAACTTGGCTGGTAGATGATTCTTGGACCGCCCCCTCCTCGAAACCACCCTCTCTCGAGGCGCCGGCGGAGATGTTCCAACAGGCGGGGACGATGACTTGATCGGGGTCCACGATCCTGGGCCCAAGACGAGGAGCCGCCTTATCAGGTTCCATGGTACCCCAAATAGCGGCTCCCTTTCTGTCTGCTGGAAAAAGGCAACCCTTTAGATTGCCCAAAATGTATCTTCCAAGTCTGCCAAAAAAAAGTCGTTTGTTGCAGAATGCGCAACATGCTTCTGATGGCGGCTCTCTAGTGGGGAGGCAAAGATCAATCTTACTCAATGAGTAGTTGTTTTCCTTTTGGTGGTTGCTTTTAGTGGTCACCCGTCAGTCGGCTTAGCAACCTATGGAGAAAGAGTGAATGCTGCTGATTCGAGCGCGTTGGTTTGACTGGCATAGTCTGCCACACTCTGACATGCATGTGGGCACCGGGTATCCACAATGATGGCACTCGCCCCGCCGAGCGCACCTGTAACACTGTATCCACAACACAGACTATATAAGTCATCATTGCCATCGTACCCAACCGCATCCCCACTTGTGTCTGACCACAACAAGCAGCATTGCTGCGTTCGCAAGCTGGAACTAAACAGGCCACCCCAGGTCTCCCGAGCATTGCGAATTCATTGCGTGAACAGCAGGGCTTTCAGCCAGTGAATACACAATTTGATTTCCCTCAGCCGCAACAACACGGGGGGTCTGTTCACCCCAAAGACTGCCAACACAGATGTGGTTAAGACCCCTGGAAAAAAAGGGACTTTCCAGTAGTAATAAGCTCCTTTTAAACCAATAAAGAAACATAACACATATTTTAAAGCAAATGGAAGCATGCTCGCATCAAAGCCCAAATCCCCCAAACGGAATCAGTCCCCTTAACGACCGGCGGGACGGAGTTCGCCGGGGGCACAGATCCAAGGTGCAGCACCGCGCGGTAGAAGGGCAGCAGCCGCTCAGCGGCGAACCAGCGCATCCAGTTGGGCGCGGGGGCGCCACCTGGCGGACAGCGACTCGACTCGACCATACAGTATCCACGTCCTGGTTGGGGGAGATTAACCCCATTCCCTTTCGAGGAACGAAGCAGTGCTTGCGTGTGCGGAACATCCCTCTCTCTTAGGATCGACTAACCCATGTCTAATTGCTGCTCACATGGAACCCTTCTCCACTTCAGCCTTCAAAGTTCTCATTTGAATAGTGACCAAAGTTGACTCCCAATCCAATCTCACAGGGGCAAACATCGGGAAGGCACCCAAACATAGGTATCCTAAAATAGATGGCCCTGGTAGATGTCTCAACCACTAGGTTTTACCGGGGCCTGCTATGTTCAGCCAAGCTAACCCAAGAAATCGGCACCTGTTTGCCTGGAAAAAATGACACAAGGGACGGTTTTCGCAGTCCAGCCAACAACACAAGTCGGGACGGGGGCGATCTTGCCGGACACCCAATCGGTGGGAAAAAAAAAACAAACAATGCGTTCCGGCTGCATGGAAACCTGCAGTTGGATCGCTCCGTTGGGCGATTTGTGGAGCGACCCGTTGTTGGGTCCCACAGGCGACTTGATGTTGGGACCCAACCAGTTTTACTAGATTGTTTTTGTTTGATACCTTTAGCTCCAAGAGGTTGTTTCCTTGCCGACGCACTTCTGCCAACAAGGTTGGCACAAAACACAAAACTCCAAAACCCCCATGCAGCTGATATCATTGCGAGGTATTCCCCATCCAAACTAATTTGTGTTTTTGTTTGAGGTGACCCCTGCCAGGTTGGTTTAAAGAAGAAAAAAAGGGTAGCCACCATTTGCGACACCGACGATCTTGTACCAAACACGCCTTTCGATGTCTGTAGTGATTGCTCTCCTTGTCAACAGGTCTACAGTTTCCAGAGGTCCGTAGCATTCTATTCCAGTTGCCATAGACAATACAAGCAAGAACAAATAGCTGTGCCACATGGGCTCGTGTGTTTTTGCGGGTACCGGCCATGTGGGGTGGCTTGAAACCAAAAACGACAACCGGCCATTTCAGGGGGACCGGCTCTAGGCCACACTGCGCGGTCTCACGGATCTAAGCTGTAAGCACTGCCGTATGTCGGCAATGGCATGTCAAAGCTCTAGCACCTTTGTAGCAACACCAGGGAAGGAAACTTGCTTCCAGCATTGAAGCACATGAAGCAGATTCCAGCTAATATCCGAATGTGCTTTATTTTGATTTCAATGGGCCACTTGCTGAAACTGCGACACTGAAGCGTTTGTATCTAACTTCGATCGGCGACCGGCACTTCCGAATCTCCGCCGTCCGGCTGCACTGTCCAAACGAAATCTCCGATTTTCAGCGCCTGGATCTGTCTCCAAGATGAAGGCCAAGCCGTGCGAAAGTGCATAGCAGCGCCACAAATTGATGAAAGGCCTCAGGACAATGGTGCATTCCGGGGGCATGTCCAAAATAGGGTCTCCTGGGACCCTGGTTGCATGGCCTGCCTTGAAGGAAGTGAACAAAACGTTTTGAGTCTTGACGCCCCCACATCCCTCCAAGAAACCAAGGCTTTTCGACCGGACCGTGCTTCAAGTATCTAAGAACCGCTGCCCGTTGTGGACCGAGCAGGGGGTGTCTTGGTCTGGAAGATATCCAGAGGTTCAAAGCAAACTAGGTTGGAATCAGCAACAACGCCATCCCGGAGATGGAGAATGTGGTTGAGGTTGTCTTGGCCGACCCTTGGTGCGTGATGCCGCTTCAAATTCCTGCATGCATGGGTGTGAAGTAGCCTTCAGAAGCAAGCTTCTGAACAATCTGTCTTCTTCCAATTCTCCAAGTTTGCACGTTCTGGCCATTAATCTCAGGTGCCTGCAGGAAACGCCAAACCAATCGGATAAACAGCCAAGCTGTTCAAAAGAATCTGTAGGGAAACCCAGACTCCTCTTTTCGACCATCACACAAATTGGCAGGATGATTCAACATGACAATCGTCTTCAAATCCGTTCCAACTCCTTTTCTGGATACGGAGTATAAAAGGGATCAGCCCTTAGCCACAATTAACACACACGCAACTCCCAAACCAGGACCTCCCGACATGATGAAGCAACCATTGCATCCGAGGTGGAAAAGGACGCGGCAACTGCCTCAAGAAAAGGACTGTGCGGCATATGGCTCGAGGATTGACAAGATCAGGTCAAGGAAAAAAGGATTGCTCAGCTTCCCCCAACCCAAACAAATATGTTTGATCCTCAGAGCCTGACGATGTGGATCCCCACAGGGACCAGGCTTTTGTATACTTCCCCTTAGAACATCACCCCACCAAGGGAAACTCACCTTAAATATCAAACGGGCAACCAGTGTGATGTTAAAGGGACACACATGGGCGTGTAAAGAGGGTGACCCCACAATGGCGGCCTTCCTCCTGGCTTTTCCCTCAAGCCAACCCAAGAAGAGATCCATTCCGAGTTCACTCTCTTGGCTTTCTTCTTGGATTCCCAACAAGGCACCTTCAGAAATCACATCCTCTTGGATTCCCAACGTACCTCTTGTCACGACCCCCCACAGCACAACCCCCCCCAAAGGTCCCTCTTGGACCCCTGCTCGACCGACACAAATTTGCAGGCAGAGCCGCTGGTACCGCTCCAGCATGCTCGCCGTGGCGGCCAACAGCACAGCCACCTGAAGCGGTCGGTCGGGGGGGCGGATGGAAAGCACCGGCAGGTGGCCCCCCAGGCACAGAAGCAAACAAAACACCTTGGTTGCTCTTGACCCCTCTGCAATAAGTTAACTTTTTGTGGGTTTGATGGACAATTCTTTGATTTCCCAAAAAGTTGGTCTAAAGATCCAACCCGATAGCAGTCAAGACACGGCATCCATACCCAGAAGGTACAACCAGTCTGATATCCAAGTAGCCGCTGACATTGTGAGCTGCAAACTGTTTTGGTGGAAGTGGCCCTCTTTTCTGTGCACAGCTCACCTTGCATGGCAGGGCATCTCATGCGGCCGGAAGCTTGGGGCGTGGGCGGGGTTCATCACGTCTCGTGAGTTGAAACATGCGCCTGAACAGCACCTTGTTGAAGCAGCCAGTTTCAATATCCCAACATCAAAGAAAATGCCCTTACCAGAATGCTTAGCGAACCAATGCAACCCTGCCGTAGGTGCACGGAATGTGTCTGGCCTCAACACCAAGCGCTGCTGCCACAAAACAGAACGCGTGCCAAAAGCGCCACGCCTGGCCCTCTTTGGAGTCCTCTTTCAGCAGCGGCAAGCGATCTGCCTGGAAAAGGCATCATGTCTGGTTTGCAACCTCTATCACTGGCAAAGCTCTCAGCCCCTTGGTTGCTTCATGTGCAAGGCTTGCCTAGCTACCGGGAACGAACCAAGCTCATCATAATGTGGGGGAAGGGGGGCAAAGGATGGCGGCATCACATTGCAAAGTGAACTACTATTCGAGTGCTGAACACGTGCCAAGTGATTCATCCTCTAATCAAAACATATGGCCATGGGTCAAAATCCCGTACCCCCAGTGAACATCCCATTCCCCACCAAAATACACTAGAATGGGTGGTGCACCTACCCCAAAATGGCACCATTGGTTTTGACCCACAGCCATATCAACGCTGTTGGAGCAGTGCCCAATATGTGCCAAGATCTAAGCTGTTGCATCCGAACCCAAACTGCTTACAGTTCGTCTGGGCGTTAGGAAGGATGTCGGGTGGGTGTTTGAGTCGGTGGATGTTCACAATTCTATCATGTGAAGCAAGAAGCCTTCAAAGCAAGGGATTTACAGGTTCAGGCTCAGGTGTCTCGACTATGATAAGTCTGATATGCTTTGATCAAGTATCTTGATTGCTGCGGAGGTGCTAGGGCAGGAATGGGCTGCATCATGGAAAGGCCTGGCAAGTACGCTTGATGCAGGAAGTCATTGTTCACCGCGAGATCTGTTGAAGCATATCATCCCCAACCGTGCTAGGTTTTTGACGTTGCACATCGTCCACCTCAAATCATACCTGTGGTGGAATGCCATCGGGAAACAATTGTCATGGGTCCTGATTTGGCTTTGCAAATGCAACTGGGGCCAGGATTGTTCTCTCAAGTTGCACCGGCTCGCATTGCATGGTCTCTGCATCTCTTTCAGTATGCAAGCCTACGCAAGGTTTCCAGTTTGGAATACCCAGGCTGATGAACATGTCTTGACAAATGCAACGCACCCTTGGATTATCCTCGAGCACTTTCGCAGGCTCGGGCATTCAACGAAGTGAGAAAGTCTAATGCCTGTTCTCCTGACCCAAAGAAAAACGATTCTGAGAACCTTCTAAGGGACCTAGCATGCACCTTAAAAGGAAGGTCTGATCAGATCTTGCCTCATCCTTTCAAGCTTGCCCTGTTTTGGGGGAACAAATTGCCAGGCAAAAAACAACACACTTCTTGGTTCTCAGTGGGGAACGAACCAGTTCATTCCCACAGCCCCCGTTAATATGAGAGCTGGCAAAGGATAGGTCGCATCCCGCCTGCAATTCCCTGCTTCGTGCTTGGGCGCACTGCCCTCGTCGCGCGTTGAGCAAAGCCGGGAGGTTCTCGCGCAAGTCCCACGTCCAGTGGGGCTCAAACTCCTAACGGGCACGAGTTGAACGTTGGCTGGGGCTAGCTTCGCCATTCTTATTGATCCTGTTCAGCAAATGGTCAGAAACTATGGGAATTTGGCGAGAACAGTCCAACATCATAAACCCAACTACTGCTTGGCTTTGCACCTACCCGCAAAGGCCTGTTGACCACACGACTACGTGTAGCAAAGCTCGAACAGCGCGCTCACGAGTTATTGCTCTGTGCTATTGCTCTGTAAGAGTAGCGGGAGCAAGTACTGGGTCTGCCTCTCTGCTTAAATATTTACTCTTCCCAAGTGGAGATTTGGTTGGCAATCTCCATGAGTGTGCTTCATGTCATCCTCTTTCCTGTCGTAGGTGACAGTTGGTATTGGCCGTTGCTCATGCAAACCCACAAGGGCGACAGATTAAGTGGGCGATATGTTCAGCACTTAGACACCCCCACCCGAACGAAACATCAAACAACAACAAAATGGTAGGTCGCGCAGTGGGGACCCCACCCTTAGCCCAAACTCAAATCTGTCCCGTTGCCAGCTTGCTCCTTAAAGTATGCATTGGCGCGGAAGTAGTACATCAGCGAGTAGGAGCACAGGCGCACCTTGCCATCCGAACAAATTCCGTGCTGCCCGGAGCTTGCCTTTTCCACAATCGCCCGAAGGTATGTCGAAACCATGGACCTGCTTGCCCCCTCTTTCAATAAAAGCTCCAGGTGTGCTTGTTGCTTAACACATTCCGGAGCATTGACTGTTGGGTCTTGTAGGGGGACAGACACGGCACAGGCAAGCAGCAGGGCCAATGCCTGGTGTTGGATAGTCTCCTGGGATCTTTCCGCTTGTTGTTTGTAATGCAGAAAGAGCTTACTTGTCCCTGCAGACTCGTGTCAGGTATTCACACTATGGCTCTGTGCCAGAAGGCTCCTCACACGTGTGGCCACATGTCAATGGCAGCAAAAGGCCATTTGTTGCTTCAACTGAATAAATCAGTTTCAAACAGGATTTAAGTGCACCGAACAACTTTGCAAATCAAACCCGAAACGGGGACCTCACGCCTCACGCCTTGCTTGCTGCTTGCTTGCGAAGCTGTGCAAAAGATTTGGAAAGAGGTTCAGTGCAAGGCACCAAGAACTCAACATTTGTTTAAATTTTGTGCTGGGTAATCGCGCGGAACCGCCAGTCCTGCCTGCTTCCTGTTTTCAATAGTGGCTCATGCCAAGACCCAAATTAAGTTCCACGCCAGCGCCATGGAAGTTGTTGCGTTGGCGAGAACAATACAGAGAGTCTGGCCAAAGAATAAAGATAGGATGAGTTGTCCCAAAAAGCCGCGGAAGATCTCAGAAGGATCATTCCATTTCTGAGGTGCTGCCTTTGCGTGGCCCGATAAAAAAAAGGAACACGCGACGCCTTCAAAGGTCGTTCTACTTAATTCCCCTGTCACCCATCAGTGAAACCTGGCTTCTTGTTAAACAAGCAAACACGCCAAGTTGTGCATCGAAGCTGAAGAAGCGGCCTTGAGTAGCGGTAGTCTGTATACGAGTTCGGGACCAGGCCATGGCCCCATGGTCTCACTGCGAACTGGCATCTCACTAACCCAAGGCGAGTGGTCGCGGGCAAGCCTCTGCAAAGTCTGGCAGGGCCAACGCCTGGCCGAGCTGTGCCCAAAGAAGGACTCCGACCACAAGCATGAATAACTCCAGCGAGAAGCGGCTATGTTTGCGTTAAGGGGCCACAGTTTTACGAGAGCAACTAACATAAAACCAGGTATTTGGAGAGGTCCCGAGTTGTGACCCACCGAGATTCATCCAAACGACATACTTATCGTGGCCGAAACTGGCCGAAACGCAGCTTTGAGGTTTGCCTTGCCTGCAGCAACAGCACGACGACGCAACCTGGCAAGCTACGATTGGATTCGCGCACTGCGCCCGAAGCACTGCACCAACAGATCAGCGGCAAGTTTGAATGCCCAACAACAACTCAACGGGACCGAGACTCTAGCCATACTCTCGTTTTTTTTGTTCGGCTCTCACGTGGAGCGAGCAAGCAACACAGACCCATGCGCACCCAACCACACCGCTCAGTGCAAGGAGGTCTTCATTCTCCCAAGGAAACCGGGTCAGTTGTGTTGCTGACTCAACACCTCCAGCGATTTCAACTTGTCGGCTTCCAACCACGGAAGTGTCAAAGGCCTTCCGGGCACTGCTCGCAGCGCGGGGAGGTACCCAGGGCCTCCTCTGAGAGGCGCTCGGCCGAGTCCTTACACCGAGCGCCAGTGTCAGAGGCATGGGACGCATGGGCGGGATGTGGCGAACATTGGGAACTGGGGGGAGAAGTGGAGCAAAAGGTTGGGTGAAAGGTTGAGGGCCTCAGGGGCTTGTTTGAAGAGTAGTGTCAATGAGAGTCAAATAACAAGCATGTTGGAACAGGATGTTGGTCTTCAGGAAGACAATGGGGAGACGAATCAACATTGCTCCTGCCGACTTGTACTTGGAAAGTGAGAACAGTCGGAGTAAATACAAGAGGGGGCGACAAAAGGAAAAGGTCGTGAACGATCAAAGTGAAGCACTTGAGCTTTGCAATCACCCTGATATGGCACCGAGGCTTAGTGAGCCCAGAACTCATGGTTGGGGGATTGAATGATTACAAACACATGTCAGCGTATGGAAAGGACAAAGCCCATATTAAACATACACCTCCAAACTCAGACTGGTTCAACATCCTCGAACATCCTCCCACAACTGGAACCTGCCACATCCGTTAGATATGATTCCAACATTCGTCAGTGACAACCCAGGCTCACGCAATCAAGCAGCAGGCTTCTTTCTGTCCAAATACACTGTCAACAACAATGAGTAGTGAGCTCTGTTTCTACAACAAAGGTCATCAAAAGCTTCTATCTACAAAACGTGACATGATACTCTAGCTGCATTCTTGGCAGGGATACGACATGATGACACAGAGAGAGAGAGAGAGAGACACCCAAATATGAGCTGTGTCGTCTTGCCACTGTGAATTGCACTCACCTGCTGAACGTTTGCTTGTGTACGAGGGCGTTAAGGTTGTGAGTCACATTCCCACTGGCCAGCAAATCCAACAGGCCACAACCTTGCGGGAAGACTCGGCGACAAGCGAATGAACTCCACGCATGGTGTTTACTTGACGCTGAAACAAGTAGCCTTAATTGCGAACGCCTCCACAGCATGATGGCTTCGATACGGAAAGGTAGACAAGTGTGTGTGTGTGTGTGTGCGCATCACGGCAACAGTTGCTCGAAGGGGCTGTTGCTTGTTTCCAGGCGTCATACCATTCATGTCGGGCGCATGGCCCTCAAACAAGAAGGTTGGCCTTTTGGCATGTTTGCGGTGCTTCAGCACAATGGAATAAATGCGAGCAGCCGAAGAATCACACCAACATACAGCAATCAGGAACCCCCAGCCAGAGAAAAACAACTAGTATCAAAAGAGGCACTGATATATCTACATACATTCTCCACCTTCCCCTTGCACCTTGGTTCAGCGTGAAACATCTTGATCAAGGTGCGACGCAGCCCCGCTGCTCTGCGCTTTCTGGAATCAGCTTGCCGGTGGCCGCCTGTATGTGGGCACGCGGCCCGTAAAAAGGGTGAGGCGCCCCTGAGGTAAAATTGAATGTGCGCCCAAACTACAAGTTTGAAGCAACCCCAGGAGTTTGATGCGGTTTGCCGTCAGGCTTGGAATCACAGAATGCGGCCAGCTCAAAGATAAGCATCTCTGCAAAAAGCGAGTTGTTGCTGATTGGTCAAATGATTCTGTACCAATACCAAGTCGCTTGGCGAATACCGAGTCAACGCTTGTTAGTTTAACGCAACTTTTTGCAAATACCAGGTGACTGCTTATTTGTTCAACGGACTGTATTCCATGCAAGGTAGTCAACCATACTGCATGGAACAAACCATCATGCTCCTCTGTTGTAGATTGTTTTGGAGTCAAACATCGTGATCGCAGGCGATGGTGACAGGAGTTTACGAGAATCAGCAAGCTCTGACCTCCTGCATGTCACCAACCGAAGCGTGTGGCAAACACTGACACACAACACACTGCTTAAATCAAGCTAGCTGAACCTACACACACATTCGTCGAATACACACATGAGTCATAATCAAAACCTGGCAAACAGAAATAGCCTCCCGAATCCCGGGCAAAGAAGTACAAGGACGGCCGCACCTTTTTCTGGTTGGGACTGTCCCTCGCTAACCTTAGCTTTCCCGGGCTCTGATTGTGACTGGCATGTTCTTACGTATGACAGCGTGGTTTCTTCTTGCTCATTTCATAGGTTTCGAATCATATTTGAGATTTGTCATTTCGTGCTAAACCATGCGAACCTTCACGGCCCGAAACCGGAGTCAACTGCACTTTCTACGCCGGCCGTTTCAAGGAAAGCACATCAAGCACAGCCGTTTGCATAGGTGTGTCCTTTTGGAAAAATAGATGGTACTGGTACATGGGGCACAAAACCATCCTCACTTGCTATGATTAAAACGGATCAAACATGGGGAACCAAAAAGGTCATTTCAGGTCGATTCGCTTTGGGCAACTGAGCATCTGAACCAGCAGATTTCAATGAAACACTTCAAGCGCAGCCATGCCCTTTTGGGGAAACCAATAGATAGCGCACTGGGGCCACATGGGGCCGGTGGAACCCATCAAACACCTCAATAAAAAACCCAAACGCCGGAGATCAAAAAAGCCCGCGGAAGCCTGGGATTTCGAACCAAAACCGATGCCTCCGCCGCCGCCAGGGCGCTGAAGGCGCACCGCGCCAGGAAGCTGTGGCCCGTCTCCTTGGGAACTGAGTGCTCTGGACGTGGATGGGAAGGACTTTTTCGAGGTCCTCCACAAAAAGAGGTTAGAATAAGAGTTCCCGATTTTTTTGCAGTGGTCTAGTTTAGTAGGGGAACCCTCCCCCAGAAAAGAAACGGTAAAAGGGCACTACTGGGGGACCTGGTTTTGGTTGGGAAGCCAAAAAGGACATCATTTACAGTACTCGGTTGCTTTCTGCTCCCCCGCTAAACTTTTAACTTCTAGTGGTTTTAAGGGAAAACCCATTAGTTGGCAGAAGTTAAAGTCCTAACATCCAAGCAAAATGCACCAAAGAGTGGTTGGGGTTTTATGCCAACCATTTTGGGAGGGTATTCCCCATTCGAATTCATAGCCATATCTATCTATGGGTGAACATCGTCTGATTGGGATTGGTTGGGAACAGCTAAATTTGAGACTTCTTGATTGGGATGCCTTTGATTTAGCCGGGGTTTTATGTCCACCAACCATTTTGGGAGAGTATTTGCACTAGAATTCCCCATTCAAATGCATGATATGAAGCTTTCTTCAACTAGAAACAACACTACAAAGACAACACGACACTTTCTAAGAACACCATTTATCGATCATCATCTGCAAATTACTGCCAAGACAATGGCGATCTTCCAACATCCTCCCCATCTCCATGTTGGAAAAAGGGGTCACCTCCCCCATTCTTTGCAATCCGAAAGCCAGCAACAGTTCAGGGAAAGCAGCTCGTTGAAACCAACGGACATCAACCCCCCGGGAACTGAGGCCTGGAATCATTTTTTTTTGGCTCAGCAAGGTGTGCATACTCGACATGTCTGAGCCACTTGCGGGAGTTGCACTTTCCTGAAGCTGCAGCCACAAAACCTATCATGACGATGCATGAACGGTGACTCGCCAAAAAAGCGAACCTCCTGACGAGCGTCTTGCTGGGGGGCTGCTCTTTCAACTTCTTGCAGCCTAGATTCGCCAACCGCATCGTCGAACACAAGATGGCCTTGCTGGCGCAAATGGCGTTCCAACCGTTGACTCTTGCCTTTCCTGGTCCCTGTGCTACAATTGTTCTTTTCAAATGACTCCGGAGACCAACCCTGTGAGTCTTTGGCTTTGGATCGCAACCCAACAAGACTCGGGAGTCAGGTGAAAAAAACAATTACCAGTCATAAGCCCAGGGATACGTGACATAGTCACGTACCAAGACATTGACATGACTTTATCCGCCAAAGCAACCAAACCCAAACACAACTGCATGGCAACAAACCAGAAACAAGTGGTACAGTAGAAAGGACGACCACCCAAAGCACGACAAGTGCAATTGAGTCTCCAAGTCAGCACGACTGCAACAAGCAGCTTGATCACGTGTGACTTTCCAAGGCCCCTGCAGGCCCAGGTGCAAACAGGGAGGAGCGACCATAGTCGAATCCTTGGACCGCAAAATCAGCAAGTTCGGTTTGTGTGTTGAACTTGGTCACAATCCTTGCAAAATTAGATCAAGTTACAAGAACGCACAAGCCTGCAACCAGGATTTGTCCCTTCATGATGGGGCGAGCTCATTTCCCCTAGGTGAGCTCCGTGCATTTGCCGAACGCCATCCTCCCAGTCTTTTAGAAAACCTCAGTGCGTCAGCCGTCAGCCGTCAGTAAGCACATGTCCTTCTGTTTTGCCCTTGCACGCAGCAAGTGCAAACCGCGAGCGCAACAAATCCTCAGCCACCTTCTGGTGGCATCGTTTGGCACCGTTGACGAATCGGTCGATTCGCCAACAAAGACATGCCTTGAAAACACCCTGGCTCTGTGAAGCAACATGGGCCTGTCTCAAACCAGCTTAACGATCCCTACCTGGGGTAGTCCTTGATCTTCAGAACCACCCACGACGATTCACAGAGCCTGGGCCAATGCCCTTCCGGGAGACGGCTGAAGCTGGAGCTGTCTGACATTGCCTCTGACGCTGTTGGACAGCAGGCTCAAAGCCAGCATAAGAAATAACACGACCGTGCAAGGCACGCTCCTCCCCAGTGCGACTCTCAAATATTTCAGCGTCAGCCCCACGCGCGGACAATACGCTATCCGATTTGAGCGCACCGGGGACATGTTCACCTCGGATGTGGGTGTTTCCCCAAAGTACAAGATCCTTGCAAATGGTTGGTTTCCTTTAAGCTTCCCCTTCAAAACAAAAACAAAGAGGGTGTCTCTTTTTGCCTCCCCGCCCCCATATGTAGCTGGTACTTTAACACCCCGCCTCCACTTTAGCCAAAAATGTCGAACTCTTCCTCCGAGGACTTTTATTTGACCATGGCCTGGCGTAAACTCCACAAAGTCGGAAACCAAAACAAGGCACGAATTGAAAGCAGCAAAACATCTGGAAAATATCTGGCTCCAAGAACAGTTCACGTGACTACCTAATCCCTTCGGAGGAGAATAGCAACGTCAAACCAACAATCCACATACTATCCACCACCACGAAGCTAGACAAACGACGCGTTAAACAAATACGTATTTTATGCTGACATGGGTCTTTTGGTCTCCCCTTCAACCTCACAACAAGAAACTCAATCCTCTTTCCTTGCAGGGGATTGCTGAAAGGGGAAACTAAAGGAAAAAAAACAACCAGAGGAAAACCAAAGGAAATCCACAAGGAAACCAAGAAACACAGGGGTGACAGGGGTTTGCGTCAAACGAAAACTGAAGAAGACCACAAATAGCACCGCAAACGGCTTCGCCTTGTTCTTCTTCTTCTCCTCCTTCGAGGAGCCCTTCGAAATGCAGGACCAAGAGCCTGGGGACCAGCAAGCAAGCATCACAGTATTCGGCTTTTTGGGCGGGAAACAAATTACCTTTCGGGCCAACTTTAATTGAGTCTCCTTGGTGTGGATGATATTTCGATGGGATAATATGTTATTGGCTATCTAAATGCATGTGTTGAACTCTGGGCTGCTGGGCTGTTGGGTTGCTGGGCAGTTGGGCTGCTCAAGCCCGGACTGGAAACAAAGGCGGCGACGTTCAAAGCGATACCAGAATGAACGCTCAACTATAAGCAGAACTGAAGACATAGGCATTTCCAACTCATCAGTCAATTTGAAGGGAACGCACTTCAAATTTGCCCAACCAGGTGCTGATGTTCAAACCACCAAAAATGGAAACATTCGGAACCCTGGAAGGTAACCTGCTTTAGCACTTCACGCGCCAGCCGAGCTTTCGAATCCAGCCTTCTGAGGCCGCCCGCTTCATGTTGAGCCGACGCATGACCTTCTCCTTTGCCAGGTGGAGCCAACCCAGTCTTAACATGATCGCTACACTTTGACCTGTAGTCGAATTGCAAAGGGGGCCTGGATAACTTTGCTTCAACCACGTCTGCCTGCCTCATTGACTTCGTCCCGAAACTCCTCGAGTGTCTTGTGGACTCGGTCTGCTTCCTCCTTGCTCACCTGCGAAGCCGGCATCAAACGGCATTTGTGCCTTGACCTGCTCCCTCTCACACACACACAATGGAAACATATGCCCTGTTGTAGACCCTGGCGCCATGATACCAAAACAGGCTCCTGATTTTGCAACACCTCCCCGTACTCCAATGGCCAACCATTGGTGTTTTGGGATGTTTTGGGTGCTGCTCAAATGTTTCGACTGGAAGCAACTCAATCCGGGACCCCGCGCCCAGGCTTTCAGCTCAGATATGTCTCCGATGGAGCCAGCACGGATGAGCAGGAACTGGCGCAGGACCTGAAGGCTTCACACGGGAAGCCGGGATGCGTGAAGGGAGTAACCCTTCACAGACACGATCCACTTAGAATCTGAGTGCGTAGCATCCATCCGGGTGCAACATTTCACCAACCGCACATAAGTCGGCTCCCTCAGTATAGAACGGCATAGGTTTGAGGTCGCACCCCCTTCCCCGTGTGCGAGGTCGCGCTAAAGTTTAGAGAGCGGGGCGCAAAGGGGGTGGAGTTATGAAACTTTGTAAAAAAAACATAGCAACTTTGTTGCGTTTCAAACATGATAACATGAAGCAGGCTGCATTGAGGCGTGATTTGACCGGGCCAGATCAGTCAGAGAGTGTAGATACAAGCTAATTAGTATTCCCTCTGTGTTTGCCTAGTGGTCCCTCAATATTCCTCCAGCTTCCTTTGTAATTTTCTAGTATTCGCCTAGCAGTCACCTTTAGTATTCCCCTAGTGTTTCTTTAGCATTCTCTTGATATACCCTCTGGTTTGCCCTCAGTGCTCCCCGAGTAGCCCCTCAATATTCCCCTAGTATTCACCCGTAGCATTCCCTAGTCCACTGTCATCCCCTCAGTATTCCCCGAGTAGTCATCTAGTATTCTTCTCTTGGTACACCAAGAACAATTTCCCCAGTGTTTCCTCAGTTCCCTCCAAGTATTCCCTCATTCTTCTCCTAGTATTTTCCCAGCGTTCACCCTTAGCACTTCCTCATCCACTAGTGTTCCTCTTTTGCTTCGTTTCCAATACCCCTAGTTTTCCAGTGCATAGTATTCTTGTTGTGTCCCAATAATATTGCACTGGTATTTGTTTACTATTTTCTTGGTACACCCCTAGTAAACTTTCAGTATTCCCTAGCATTTCTCATTGTGTTTCCCGATATTTCCCCTGTCCGTTAGTGCTCCTTTCCACTCTCTGAGAACTCCCCCTATTATTCCCTTCGTATCCCCCCCCATTCCTTTAGCATTCTCTTACTTTCAGGGTTCCCTCAGCACTCCCCCGGTATCGCCTTAATATTCCCAAAGTAGTTCCTCAGTATTCCCCTAGTATTCTCTTAGCATGATTTGATTACAAAGAAATAAATATGAGTTCATTGCTGAGTGGCCACAGTTGTTGAAAATCGTGTTTAAATGTTTACTGGTTTGTATGGACAAGGCTATGAGGAAGGATACCCGGGTAACATTTAATTCGGCATAGGATTAAGCATTACTTAAATTCCAATTCACAACAGGAATTCTGATTGGATTATGCCCTTGTTAGATTCATTGAAATTTGAAAAAGAGTAGAACTGGATAACGAGATCAAGAATAACTCAGAAGAAAAGAGGTCAGTGTGGCTTAGTGATGCTTGCAATGTGCCAGAAACAGGCTGCTCAAGTGCGATACAAAGGAGTGGAGACTTCAGGCAGAGGGAGCACAAGCCAGGAACCTCAAGGAACACCATGGCAGAGTTGTCTAAACAAAGTGCGAAACACCTCGAGTTTAAGAAGAATCAGAGAACAGACTCATGCCCCAGATCTTGGAGACACCTCCTATTGGGCCTGGAATTTTGGTTTGTTTGTTTTTGTTTGGACAGCTCGCTTTTCCCCACCCGACAGGAAGGGGTTGTTAGATTTTATGTTGGAATCCGCGTTTGCGATGCTTCTACACCACGCCCCCATCCAGTATCCCGCCAGAGCAGATCGCCAGTGGATCCCGCCAAGTATTCTGCCAGAGTGGCTCGCGAGTGGATCCCGCCGAGTATCCCAGAGTAGCTCGCCAGTGGATCCCGCCGAGTATCCCAGAGTAGCTCGCCAGTGGATCCCGCCGAGTAGCCCGCTGAGTATCCCTTGCCTGTGGATCCTGCCGAGTATCCGGTGAGTATCGAGCCGGAGCGGCTGTGGATCCCGCCAGTATCCCGCCAGAGCAGCTCGCCGGGTTTGCTTAATGTCCCGCCCGGCGCACAGTTGGGTTTACATTTCATGTTGGTACCTTCGTGGTTTGAGTGTACCCTGAGGCTCGGAAAGGGTGATGCTTTTGTGTTGCTTTGGGTTGCGAATAAGTAACTTTGTCTAATCCCCCGCCGGGTTTCTTTTTGGAAGGGGCCTGGCTTTTGTTAACGGAACCGATGTTTGAGTTCTCGAGATCGGCTCGCAGACAAGTGGATAAGGCTCTCAATGCAAAGCTTGTTGAGCAGCATAGGCCCCAAGCCACTCGAACACCATGCTTGAATTCACAGAACCGTGTTCACGGTCGTAAGCTCGTGAGTGTGGAGGGTGGGGATTGCTCGAAGAGGTAATTGTTTGTGTTTTTTCTTGAAAATGAGAACGACCTCGAGCTTTCCACAACATCAAAACAAACCAGAACCATTCTGCCAGACCCCCCGGGGCCTGGAGTTTTGTTTTGATCTTTGGAAAAGTCGAGTTTTTTTTAGTTTTTTTAAACGAGGTTGCTTGAAGAGTGCAAACTCCTTGGAGAAGTTTGCTTGAGGAGTGCGACCGAGTATTGATGTCAGTTGGCAATTGAATGCGGATGCAGAATTGATATGCTAGACAAAGCGCAGTACATGAAAAATGCTCTTTCCACAAGTCCACCCCCCATGGCGCCCCCCTCTGAAAGTTCACCCAATTCAATCCTCAGCTCATTCATCTCAAGCTAATCACAACTCCTTTGCCCAACGGAATTGAAGTTTGGAGACCATGACAGAAAGGTAGACCAAAAAGGGAAACCAAGAGGGAAAAAGGTTGGCTTTGGACAATTGAGAACACCAAAACTGAACCAGCTTTGCACTCCAAATCTGCTCTAAATGCACGCATACACTGCACACCCCACTCCGCCCCACTCCTAGCTCCTTAACCAACCATAATCATTCCGTTCTTCTTGCCACTCAATTGAGCATTGCCTTTTGCATGGAGGCGCGCCCTCTTGGTTCCCATGAAACCCGCTAGCAAAAGGCCCGTGTAGCACGGCCTTTGGGTTTCTGCTCCATTCGGCATTTGATTCCGAGATTGGCTTTCCAACAATAAGATACTAACTTGTGAGGTCTTTCTTATCCTTTCTTTGGGGACGGGAATTCAGGGAGATGGTGGACCTGGGTCTACCCAAAGCAATGTAAAGAATCAGCTCGGGCCGCCCTTCACAGACCCAGGCCGAAGCGCACCTTGGGGACCTCGTTGACAGCCTCCGCGAAGTCTTTCAGGAGCTTCATCTTCTTTGCCAATTCCTGACCGCGCTTCAACCAGGAGTTTACGGCTTGACCCCCCCTGTGCCAAAAAATCCCCCCCAAACCTGATGCAATAAGCCTAGTTCAATTTGCCTTTGCTTGAGGTGCCATTTGACAAATCCAGCAGGCAACATGAGAATCATATTAATTAGGCAACTCGCCGTCTGCAAACGGCCCTGACTTCCAGCTGCAAGCAGAAAGATTCCAGCTGTTGGAGCGAATACCCCCATCATCCCCATGAAGTCCTTGCCTTGCTTACCACCTCCCGCGCAGAGGCGTCTTTGCGGCACGCCTTGGCTAGCGCCTCCGCCATCTGCGCCAAGCCCTGAAGCTTCTCCAAGCTACTCTCCCCAGACTTTATGCCTCGGCAGGGCCATGTTTGGAGGTTTTGGGAAGACAAACTGGGGAAACTGTGAAACCTTTTGGGGGCCGACTCCCACGCCTTCGTACAAGATAGCGTCCTTGGACAAGATGGCGGTGGCTTTGGCATCGCACCCATAGGGACAGCCCCTTCCATACTGATGCGCGCAACAGAGGCAGTGCTCGCAGAAGCTGGACGTATTGAACTTCCATTGACAACAGTAGTTGCACTGCGACTGCTGCTGATTGACTTGCACTTGCAGTTTTTGCTTCGCAGGGTTCTGAAGGTTGGCCAGCAACTTGACGGTCAGCTGCTTCTGCTCCACAAACTCTGGTGCCACAAGATCCCCGAGCCATTTTGCCTTGCTGAAGTGCTCCAAGAACTTGCCGAAATTGGACAAGTTTGCCTTAATTTCCTGACTTTGGCTGCCCATGTCAAACTTCATCACCTGGCAAAGGTTGAGAGGGGGGGCTTCTCAGGACTTCCGCATGGCGGCCGTTTCGCGGGAAACAACACACAAACAATCCCCATGCTTAGGGATCCGAGTCCCGCCTGGTGCTGAGATGTGGTTGTGAACTTGGAAGACTTGTCCGCGAAAAGCAGTGTCAGCTGACGAGAGGCCTCTCTCGCCAGCGCTTGGTTCCGATGCAGTTCGTCGTCGGTCAAGTTGGATAAACCCAACCTGCCAAGGGGAACCAAAGGGCAACTGGAAACCTTGGATCAAAGCAGGCCCAAAGGGTTCCATCACTCCGTCGAGGATAGTTGCTGAGGGCTTAAGAACACAGAATGTACTTTACTGGCAGGCACTTGGATCACAAGGAAACCATCAAATGTGAGTTTCTGACGGCCTGGAGAAACCATCATTGTGTTCGTTCATGGCTTGCGCGATGGACTTCAGCCACTTCGTAGTCGACGTGATCTGCTCACAAGAGACTTCTGGTGCTGGGTCCTGCAAATGATGCACGGATGGACCCTTGGGCAGTCTGTAGTGGAAGGGGGCATGGCTTGAAGGCATATCCTGAGCTGCTCAGAAACAGGCTTAAATGATACCTCCCTGTCCAAACAACAAAGCGAAGAACAAACGAGTCACTACACAACCCACCTGCATCATACACAGGTCATATTGCATAAGTCTAAACTCGAAGAAACAAACAAACGCGCCCCTGGGTGAGTGCCCCATCCATGTATTGAACTCTTTTTAAGCTGCGGGGAGAAACTTAAGCTATCAGGTACATCGAGCTTCATATGTTGTTAAAAGTCATATGTTGCGCGCTATGTTGTGTATGTGTGTGTGTGTGCGCGGGAAGTGCTCTTGATTCATCGCGCCCCGCTTACAAGCGCCTGCGCCATCTCCTTCTCCATCGCGGCGCGAGCTTCTTCAAAACACTTCTGCAAAGGCTGTACAAGCTTTGGCGTGTCGCCTCGCAAGGGCGAGAACGGCCAACAAACGATCATGATACCTGCGCTCGATGTACTCACGTCTGCGTCCAAGGGCAAATGAAAGGACGATTGGTTCAAGGGGGAAGCCTGTTGTCTCTGTTCACCAGCCTGAAATGAGGTTTGCATGTATTTGCAAACAGGGATTCTCTTCACGCGCCAGCTTGTTTCAGCTCTTCCGAAAAAGGAACAAGATCCTTACAGCCAAAACGCCCTATAGTTGTCACAAATGCCCAACAGAGTCTAAATTTGCATGGGGACTGAGGTTTCATAAGACACAGTAGGGCCTAACAGGCTCTCTTTTGTAGCCATGTCCAGGCCTTTCCGGTTGGGACCGAATGACAACTTTAGGAATGCTAGCAACTCAATCGATACGCCTGCCACGGTTCCGGTGCTCGCCATCCCCCGACTCGGCGCTCCAGCTACGCAACTTCACTTGAGGCCATACGGCTGCGGTTGGACATGCCAGGGCTACTTCGTGTGTGCACCCGCATTGGTTTGTTCGTGTGTGTTTGTGTGTGCGTATGCTCCTTTCACTATCCTAGAGCTTCGCGCCAGCTGCGCAGGTTGGCTGCAGGAGTTGCTCACACAACCTCCCTCCCACTCAGCACGAGCCCGCCCACCCACCCTTCCCACCCTTCCTGCCGTTCCCACCCCACCCACCCCACCCTTCCTGCCGTTCCCACCCCACCCACCCACTCACCCACCCACCCACCCCACCCACCCCACCTAACCACCTGCCCTAGCGCGCGTGCGCACGCGCGCGTGCATGGCATGCGTACGTGTGTTGCGTGCACAGAGCGCGTACCCAAAGCCAATGAAACAAAGACCGCGTTCCCGGCATCCCCTCTCAGCCCACAGAAACCAGTGGAAGCATGCAGAAAAAAACACGGTGTTTGCGATGCTTTTTTCGCACAGCGGCGGCAGCCTCGCTTTCGCAGAAACCCCGCTCGCTTGATCGCAAACATGCTCGCTATGTCCACCTTTTCGAGGGTTGGCACGATGCAGGGGATGCAAGAGATGCAAAAAGCCCGGATGCTGGTGATGCAGGAACGCTGAGGATGCTGGTGAAGTTGGCGAGGATGTAGAGGGTGTTGGCGGCTGTGAAGTTTGCACGGTATTTACAGTGCTTTTAGACGGTTGGGCAAACGTGTCAGGAGTTCATCGCACGGCCAGGGATGAGGATGTCTTGGGACTCAAATGTTTGGGGTGGCCTGTGTCCAGTTTTGGCTGAAAAACTGACAGAATTTACTTGTCAAAAGCCAACAAGTCGAAACAGGTTTCTCTGGGACACAAACCCAAACACTGTTCTCCGTGGAGAAAGCCCCTTCATTAAGTCCGCGCGGCCCTTGCAGCATCAAACGCTGGGCGCATCATCAGCCCTAGCTCGAGCCGAATGGCTCCAATGGCGCTGCGTGGCCTGGACTGGGCTGTTCCCCTTGAATGGCGTCTCCGTCATGGGTGACATTGCGCTTTTTTTGGCCTTGATGATTCATTTTGTGCACGTGGCAAGTCGGTCGGCGTATCTAGTTAGCCAAACACCGTTTCCGAGAAGTGCCTATGTAAACTCGTTGTTTTCCAAACGCCCTGTCGCAACGCTTTGTGGCAGAAACACCAATATATCACGCTGAGGCCAACCCCCATCAACGTACACCCAATGGAGCCAAATGTGGGAGCAAAACCATCTCAAACTGCCAGCACAAAGTCAACCAGCACGTGATATGCAGTGTTGCAAATGGTTGCCGCACGAGTTGAACCGTGTCATGATCAGCTTCGTTTGACAACACGTTGCGCATACTGGTGTGAAACGTTTGCTTCCCCCCCCTCCGATACAAGTTGGCGACGAACTGACGGCAGCAATGTTTTGATTGAACCTTCGCCTGGACAACGATCGTATTTCCAACTGGCCCGATTGAGGACGCCTCATTTTGTGGGCGGTCACCTCTCATCTTGCAAGCGAACAAAGAAAACTGACACACCACACAGTCCGAATGCAACAAAAAGCACGCAAACATCAACATGCTTCACAAGAACAGGAAAACCCTAGTTGACCAAAGCACGGAGTTCTGGAAAGTCCACCACAAACGCAACCGTGGAACCGTGGAGACTAAGAATTCCATGAGCAAATTGCCTGTCACATTTTGCCTTCGGGCTCGCTAAGCAAATCCCAAAGGAGCTAGGTGCAGGATTACCGAACCTGCGCCCGCGTGCATCCAAATCGGCGATCGAAGCGGGCCTGGGCTGGGTCTGTGCTCCTTACCGAGCCTTAGCGAGTTCAAGAAGCTTTGGGGGGCCCTGAAATTCTTGTAATAATGGAATTCTTGCCTTTACCAAGTTGTCATGTTGTTGCATGTGTTTTGTTGTCATGTTGTGCGTTCAGCCTGCTTTTTATGTGACGCACAAATGGGTTTGTATGTAATTTGTTTGTATTTGTGCGAGTTGTTGATGAAAATTAGAATGCAAAACGCAATAACAAGCAAACAGGACGTACAAATTGCACACACACACATTCAATCAGGATGCCTACAAACTGCTTGCGCACCCCACGCACGTGCGCAAACCCAAACGCAACTCCATGCAACATTCCACAACGCATGCAAAACGCATGCAACACGCGCACGACACGCGCCCAACATCAAGCAACGTGCGTGCAAACCACATGCCGCGCGAGCGAACACACAGCGCGCAACATGAATGCAAGATGCACACAGCACGCGCAAACCTCGTACAACATGAGCACAACCTGTGTGCCACAAGCATAACCAACATGCGTGCTTCTACCTCGGAGGCCCTTAATGCTCACAAACCGGGTGTTTTCGCGGGCAATTTCGCGCACATTTAGTTTTTCGGTTGGTGGGCACCTCTCAGAACATCCGGTTTGTCGCGCTGTTTTGCTTCTGCCTGAAGCTGAAGTCCGAGCCCGTCACGGAGTTCCTCGTTAGAGGCTCTCAGCGGCCCACGAAACGCCTACGCGACGAAGCCAAATTCGTACAACATGATGGATGCACGACGCGATGGACACCAACTCCGCGTTCTGGGCCTCCTACGGTCGTCGCCTACTGGAACCTCGTTCCGGGGCGCGATCTGGCAGCGGCAGTGGTCAGGCGCACGGTTGGCGGCTTTGCGAGCGTGGTCGGTCATTGGCTTTGCGACCCCTGTTTCCGGCTTGGGCTTCTTACGCTCGGCCACCTTGGCTTGAAGATTCGAGGCTGACCGCCTCAAGTCTACCAACGCGCTAGGTCAGCGGCAGCTGGGATCGCCGGCGTTGATCCTTGAGCTTCTTCGTGGGTGTTCCGCCGACCCTTACATTCAACCCGTCGCCTGAAGGTAGAACATGTGCACCTACTTGTTGAGATCCGACCGTCGGCGACCGTGGGCTCTACCACAGCAGCAAAGCGCAGCGTGCTGGCAACTGGGCAACTCTGGGCGACCGAGGATCTCGGGCAAGGAACGCAGCGCCTCCAATGGAGGCGGGTACCCGAAATGAGAACGAGGAAGCTCATCTCCCAAGCCACCTGTTGCCGTGACAACCGACATCTGGGCCAAGGGCAGCGTCTGTTGGCGATCCTTGTTGCAGGCAGGACTATATTGGGCGCCACTTGAATTGGAAAGTCCTCATCTCCAACTCAAGCCAAGGGACGAACCCACAAAGCCTCAGCCTCGCCCAGTCCGAGCCGTCAGACGCGTCGCTTTAGCCCACTTTCTGCTGCTGCCAGCAGCTACGTCACCATCGCGCTCGTGCCAAACAGCAGGCGTCAAGCGCTCGCGGCCATAACTTCAGCGACCCCCCAGCGCAGCCCCGCGGCCACTACGCCATGCCCAGGATCCAGCTCATTCTAGCCACCTTGTTGAGCAGCCCCCGTCGCTCGAGCTCGAGTCCAAGTTCCGGCAACAGACTGCTCAGCCCAGCCCCGGCTCGTTTGCTCAAGCCCGCATTGCTCTTGTGGTTCTTGCAATTTGTGAAATAAATGAGCAACACGTCGGCAATGTGAATCTTTGACTCTACATACAAAATTGTGATACGTATGGCATTCCATTGTTTGACTACGGAGATACGGATCGACTGTTCTTGTAAGGTTGACAAAAGGATCGAAGGAGGTGTCAAATGGCCAGTTTCTGGCGAGGGATTGTTGAGAAGAAAAGCATCGGACACCGCATGAAAATGCTGTGGCACACAGCTCACTCTCTTGGAGAATCAGACTGTGCTCAACAGAGTTGAGCCAAGCCCTACATATGAACTAGCAACTCCAAAAGATGACAATCAACACGATACGTTTGAACCACTCTTCATGTTGGGTGGAAGTTCTGGCTTTGGAGTTGATCAATTCAAAAGGTTTACGCACCCGTTTTAGTCCATGTTTAGTTCTTTTTGTTCTCCGTCCAAGTCACTTGTTTGTTGCAGTGTTCGGAGCCTTTGCACAGACAGGAAGACAATATGAGCAAAGGGACTTTGTGGTTCGAAGAAGTTGGGTCAAACAGTTGGGTCAAACTCTTGAACCTCCCAACTCACAATCCCAAAATGCTTGGTTCGTTTTTGTTTAACACTGTTCAGGCTTGGGTTTTGCTAGATCTTGCAGGAGATATGTCCGTTCGTGTTTGGTAACCTACGAACATCAAGCAACATTGTAGGAACACACGACTTCAAGTTTCGCGTGCTTTCATACAGTGGGACCTGATCTCTCGAGATTCAGAACATGCAGCGTTGCACACGATTCCGTTGTTTGGCAATGAAGGTATCACGGTTACTGGCAACAAATCCATGGTGAATAGTGTTCATGGTTTGGAAAGCCATGCAACAAGCTCTCGTTGTGATTTGATAGATTTGGACCAAGCTCTTGGGCCATCCGAGGCCAGACTTCATGACAATGGTCGTTGGCAGCTGCTCCACAAATACTCAACGATGCGCTGTTCGTCTTGCCGAACCCCCCCCCCCACCATGCTTGCCATCTAATCTCCAAAAACATCGTTGTCTTTCCACAGCCATGTCGTTGTCCGTGACCAAAAGAGACCAACAGTAATTTGTGCATTTTAGCTAAGTATTTCCTCGGAAGCCAGGCAACATTGGACAACACATGTCGAACATACGGTCTCCCGATGGCTCCCTGTTGTTGGCTGTGGAAAGGAAGTCCGGCCCAAGCTTTGATAACCCGGAATCTCAAAGAAGAGTTGCGAGGACAAAAAAGCCATGTGCTGAAAGCGAAGGGGCACTGCTTCTGAATCTCCGCTCCAGGTGGGTTTGCGCCATGACGCCCGGATGAGTCACCCTGGTGCATGGATACATCAAATAGCATCAAAATTCAAGGGTTCCAACAAAAACATGGAATAGCCTGCAAATAAACCAGGAGCTCATTCATCTGCTTCCATTGCCCGCTATACCTCTGCAATTCATAAGAGCTATCCTG